AATAGAATGTTTGTATTGCTATCGGCAGTCCTCTCTATTAAACTAAAGTCATGATGAAACTACGGGGTAGTCCGTTTCACGAGAGTGGATCATCACACCGGTCGTTCTAGAATTGGGTTAAATCCCGAAGCTCTCCCGGAAGATTCGAGTCAGGAGAGCTTGTCTTAATTAAACAAGGTCCGCTTGGCTTTTGCTACGAGAATGCAGAGTTTTGGGACTTTGTAGTCAGGCCACACTAGGGTAAAGCAGTGAGGGATTGGCGCAGGTTGATAGATGGACTCTCACTGATTTACCAACCGACCCTATGACAACTATCACCAGAGTTAAGTAAAAAGAGTATATGTATTTTGAAATTGAAGGAGCATGTTGGAAAGATAGAGTTAGGGTTGGTATGACCCGACAATACGCCCTGCAATCCCGGCTAGTCAAGTCCCGTAGCAACAGATCTATCCGAAAGCTGACGTTTTTGAGACCACTGCTCCACAAATCGTACGCTTAGTCAATTTTCAAATAGCTGTAAGGAAGTCGTCCATGCAATATATGTTTCATATGTGGATAACGCTGGTGAGTTGTAGGGATGCTAGTGGCGGAGCACGGCGATCTTGTCCACAAAAGCCATGTTTGGGTCGTTATATTTTTGTGACTTAGGACTCCATACGTAACGAGTATTTAGCCTAGTAGGGATGAATAAAGTAAGGGAGTAGCAAACATAGATCTAGAATTGCGGGTGGTCCGTCCAAGAGATACGCCTTTGCCATTACGCAACAGGAGGGGATTTAGCAATTTCTACAAAAGGCTCGACTCGAAAACACCGACAAATCCCTGATAGCTACATACTCACTTTCTCCTCCCCAGGCACACATCGTAACGGGTCCTCTTTTAATCCCTGAGAAAGCTTCTATGCGGGTGTGCATGTAGAGATCTCTTACTATTATCGGATCTTTCCCATTGCACCCGCTCCAAGGGACATTCATTTGTGGATATATGTCCGCACAGTGGTGAATATAGGCACATAATGCAAGAATTGACCAGTGCTTGTAAAGTACTTCGATTATACATTATCACGATGCTCTAATATCTGCTCTTCCATCTCGCCCCAATATCTAACGACAACACTGCCCCTGTAGAATACATCTGGTACTTGTGATATAGCACACCGTATGCCCCATCCGCTTTGTAAACGCACTCGGCCTGTGGCCCAAAGTACATCTTTCCAGCAACTTACGCATCGCCCCTCCGATCCTGCGCCTGTTTCCTCCATGCGCCGGCAAACCTCCACTGTATAAAAGGGCCAATCAATGCCACAAGCTGCACCGCAACACATATCGTGAACGCCACACCAACACCAACACCATTGACCATGGGCATGATAAAACTGGTACCACCAGCCGCAAACAGACATCTCGCGAGATTCAGACTGGCACTAGCTGCCGCGCTTCGATCAGGAAAGATATCAACGAGATACGTCATGATAACAGACTGAGTGGAGACAGCCGTCCAGCCTGTGATGAAGGTAGAAACGATGGGAACGGCGATATGGACGCGATCAGGATACTGAATGGTCCAGCCGAAGAGGATGATGGAGAGACACTGCAAAAGCGAGAAAACCGGCACGAGTCGAAGACGAGCCTTTTCAATCGGGAAATCATCCTCATTACGGGATCCATCATACGCAGCCTCGGCGTCGAGCGAAGATTCGTATTTCTCTTTGGCCCGTTGGTAGTCCATGTTTAGGATCTTGCCTGACACTAGCGTCCCGATCATGGAGCCTACGCCGTTGGCGATGAAGGTGAGACCGATCTGAGTTTCGTGGAGGCCGTAGCGGTCTTTGAAAAGTGAGGACATGGCGGTGATGCTCATCTGCCAGACGGCGTAGTAGATGGCGAGGAAGAGGATGATTGGGGTTGCGTGCTTGGTTACGAGCATTCGAAGGGGGCCGGTGAGATCAATACGTTTCGTTGCTGGTGGCTGAGAGGCATCTGATTCGTCTAATTTCCACTGGACTTTGGTTGTTCTTTGATAGATGCTTAACGGATATCTAGCCAATGGGTTCGACGGTGTCGTGCTTCCATTGGCAACAACTGATCGGAGTGTTTCAGGTAAGAGAGCAATAAGTAGGGCCAAGAAGACACCACAGTAGATGGTAAGGAACCAAAAGACCGAATGCCATCCTAAAGATCCGGCCAGTGCTCCTCCAATCACAGGTCCGACAGCAACAGGTACGAGGAGCCCTGCTTGAAAGATTCCCATAAAGCCTCCTCGTTCGGCGCGTGTGGTGATATCGCCGATCACGCCAGAGCCGATGGCAATTGTACTGGCGCTACCTGTGCTCTGAAGGCATCTCAGGACAATCACTGTAGCGTAATTCTTACTCAGCGCAAGGCCAATGCATGCGCCCAGAAATACAATAAATGTACAGATGTAGGCAATTCGACGCCCTTTTACATCTGACACTGGGCCCCACAGACTTGGTGCTAGCCCCTGGAAGATAAGGTAGGATGTAACTGTCAGATTAACAAGTTCGAGGGAAACACCGAGATCATCCGCAATGGTTGGCAAAGCTGGGAAGTAGATATTTGACGCGAAACCTGAAACTGTAGTAGATGTCAGCCAGCCTGGCTCTACGTTATATAGTAATCTACGGACTTACATGTTGCAGCAGTCGACACAATTGCAATGATTAGCCATTTTTGTCTTTTATCAAATATGCTATAAGGCGCATCTGGAACGGCGGGGGATGCTGTCGCAGGAGTAGCTTGCGATTGGTCTGCCGTTCCTTGGGCAGGCGTTGTGTCCTTCATAGTTAGTGATCTATTCACAATAATTTAAATTAGTTGATTTAGGGACATATAAAATCGAGATAGTAGGCTCGACGTGGTATATATATGAAACATGACCGTGTGGCAAATGGTGTTTACCTACCAGCGGAGCCGAGCTCGGAATTCCGAACAGATGGCTCGGAGTTGAGGATTCCCACTCCATTAGGATCAAAATCTCAGCAACTGCAGCTTTATAGAGATACATTTTTTGCGACAACCTCTCTTGGTTCCTTGTCAATAAGAATTAACCGTATACCTCCCTCAGGCTACAGATTCAATTCATCGGGTCAAGATGACGCAATTGACTAACGACCCCCCGAGCTTCGGTGAACGTCCTGAACCTGGACTGCATAACAGTTCTGATAGACGCTGCCAAAGATACGCCCGAAGGACAGGCATTCATATCAAGTTGTTTTCGGTGGAATGACGCAGTACATCAAAAGACTCCTCGTCGTCTTACTATCTTTACCACGCTATCTTTCGAGCGTGGCCGACCTGAGGTACAGGATAACACCCCATTCGCCAGGGTGATGGCACCATTTGGGACGTTCGAACACAATTCGCCCCACGCAAAGATCGCTTCTCAGTTTCATACCGATCAGAATGATATTATACTTCATAAGACGCGGTGGTCCGCTATTATGGGGAACAGTCTGGAGCAGATACTGAAGGCACAGCGGATCGACACAGTGGTTATCGTAGGTAGCATTCTTCCAGTGGTTGATATTATTATCGCTAACATAGGGGCTATAGTCAGGACTGACTCTTTCTGGTGTTGTGATCAGCACCGTCTATCGACTGTTCGACTTGGACTACAACATCTATGTGATCAAGGACAGTGTGGTGGAATTGCCCGTAGATGAGACTGCGGTATCTTCCGAGGTTATGCTGGGTATGCTTCTGCCAAAGATGAACTTAAAAGTGATCTCCCTCGATGTGGCTTTGCAAGCATTGGAAAACTCTCAAGATAGCATATTGGCATCAATCATATCAATATTAATAACTGCACAAGCGCGCATACTAGGCCTAGATTTTGACTTATCCACCCTTCGATTCACAAGGGTCCAAGGTATGAATATGGTGTATCGGGCTCCCGCTCGTGGCAAACGCGAACGTCCCTCGGAATCCCGCTACCTGGTGTATCCAAGCCCGCGGCGCGGATTCTCCACCCGAACCACTCTATTTGCATGTCAGGACATTGTGTGCGATGCGTGGGTGCTACTACAGTAGCTCATCTTGGAGACACTCTGGCATCCTTGCGTTCCTCATCTTCTCAAGAACGTTTGACCCAGCATGAACGGATATCGAAAGACCGACACTGGATAATCCTGCTCGGACGGAAAGCCATTCGCTCTTGAACAGTGTTAGGTAGTTAACAGCTGGGGAGAGTATACTATCCGACATGAGCAATATTGAGAGGGGTTAACTTGCCCCTAAAACAAGCGGCAGTGATTTGTGCACTAAGGGCATGTAGATCACGCATCAAAAGCTGGGGGTCTTTTACCCCGTACTAAACTAAGCTTTAGCCATGGTTTCGCAGCTGCTATCTGTCCACTAAGTGGGCTTTTACCGAGTGATCTAGTGGGACTACAACGGTGGCGGGAGATAGTACGTCGGCCACTGGTACCATTTAAACTAGTACGAAAGACAGAAGCTACGGTGAGAGCGATAGCTAGTGCTTAGGATCTTCATTTGGAACGGGTATATTGCTTTGTTAGGTGGAGATATCTATGTCAGAGTTCATCTTTAATACCAATAATTGTGCAGATCCATGGAGATAATACGAGGGTGGAGTATGTCAGGATAGGATGCTAGTCAATTTAGGGATCATTCAATATGAATATGCAGGGGGCCATGTGGCGCTTGTGAGCTCACATTTCTCTACAAAGAGACGCTACGTTCTAACTATATAGGGGTACCACCTGCCAGGATGAAGGCCTCCACAGACGAAATTATTATTCAATTTCCCCGGACTCGAATTCCAAAACCGCTTCTCTCCGTTCAATTGAATACGATCACACACGCAGAACTACTTTACAATGCGCCTCGAAATACTTAGCCTCGTCGCCCTTACTGTTGGCGGAAGTATGGTCTCCGCCTTTGAACTCCCTTCGACCTACTGCGCCCGGGTAATCCCTGAGGTCATCAATGCGCTCAACATGGACAGAATCTTTGACCACGCACGAAGCAAAATCTGTGAAGCCGGATGCGAAGTCACGGTGCTCGACTACGAGAGCAAAGTCCGTGAAATGGGAATTCAGATCATCAAGGCAGAGTCTAAGGAAATGGGCGCTCCTGAGCTGAGCGAGCAGTACATCAAACTGCTCGATTCCATCTACAAGACGGCTCTGGAGAAGTGTGAAGCTAAGGAGCTTGGAAAGAAGAACATCTGCGACGTGGAGCCTGCGCAAGGAAGGCAGGTTGCGCAGTGCGTGAAGCGCAACATGCTGGGCATTATGTTTGACCAGCCTCAGGCTTTCTGGTCGATTCTCACGACAAAATGTGAAGAGCAGTACCGGTTCTTTTCGAACGAAGATTTGTGGGAGATAAAATTCCCCGGACACATGGAAAAGTTTGCTGTGGAACAATGCTAGGGTAGGCGCTCGGCGTGGAGGTGTATGGAGGATGATGATGCTGATTGAGCGACAGAAGGGTCTTCTTGGAGAGAAGAAGATAACTATGGGGGGTTTGACAAGATAGTAATAGGTAATTTAGCCGTGGAATTATGGTCACGTCGGAACCAGTTCTCTTAATCAGTAAGGGGTTAGGGCATCGGTTATGTGAGAAATGGATTAACACTGGATCCACAGTGTTAAGAGGACTAGAAAGAATGAAAACGAGATTTGACCATGCAGCAATGGAATGATTGATGCTTTACTAGCGGTAATATGATTCGAATAAGGTAAATGCAGTTTAGATTGTATTTACCCCCATTGGTTCTCATTATTTCGAAAGACTTGTGGCCACGCCATTCTATTAACTGAGATTCGCGGCCCAGGATTAGTGGCAAACTAGAATTCTCGAGATGTATAACTTATATCCATTATCCAATGTCATGTAAACATGAGAGAATCGCATCCTATGGTCGAAATGGAAAATACTATATTGTGGATTTAGGATATAGGACATCCGACAAGATAGGAAACATAACCACTGATAGGTACATTTTACCAGGTTAATAGTGGATCATCCCTGTCTATAGTAGCAGGGGACTCATTCCTGCCTTAAACCATTTCGTGACAAGTAGCAATGAAAATATTTGGAGCCTAAACAGGAGGGGGCAAGGTGCATAAGTGAAGAAGACTGCCTTTTTTTTTTTTTTTTTTTTTTTTTTTTTTTTTTTTTTTTTTTTTTTTCACGACTATTGAGCGCCACACAGGCGATAGGTCCTATTTCAGCTCCCCACAACACACCTCACATGCCTGGTTTGCTTTTCAGAGCTCAGCTGAACTCTTCAACATCCGTGACGTAATATATTTCACAAGGTAGGATCGGGGAAAGAGTTGCACCTGCTCCTGGGGGGAGAAGCACGCCGCAAGATAAGAACAATAATAGTGCAATACCATCGCAACCGTCTCTTCGCAATTTTGCATCCACAATGTATAAACCACTATCCTGTGGTAAGATGTCTAAAACAGACGACTTGATCAACTGTCAAGTGGTACACAGCGAGATCGTCACTCTCATCGCTCTGCAGTATGCGAACATTCTGGTGAACTCCCATCCTCAAATAGCACAAGGGGTCCAGAATCACAGCTACTTTCGCACCAATCCCACGTCCAGAATTTACTACAGTTTACTATATATCCAAGGCGTGTGCGGAACACCAGAAGAGAGAAACTGTGTGAGCAGAATAGTCAACAAGGCCCACCGCGGAGTGAGAGGACGAAACTACAATGCAATGGAGCCCAAGCAGCAGCTCTGGGTTGCTAGTTGCTTTTTCATCGCAACATTGACCGTGCAGGAGACCTTCTTCGGGCTGCTGGATGAGCAGTCGACAGAGGCCCTCTACCAAGATGCATCCCGATTTGGCACATCCCTGCAGATGCCTCTGGAAATGTGGCCAGAAAGCATCCACAAATTCTGGGAGTATTGGAACCATGAGATTCGCCATTTTGAAGCGACGCCTGCAGTATTCAGCGTGGCTCGTGATGTTCTCTATCCTCACAACCTACCCTTCTGGATATGGGTTGCCTCGCCTATTCTGCGCATCTTTACGATCCATTGGCTCCCCGAGGCGTATCGAGCGCGGTACGGGCTTCGTACTACATGGGTTACATCTTTGGTCTATGGTACCTGTGTGTTTATCTTGCGGTGGGTATATCCACTGCTGCCGGAGTTCTTGAGGCATTGTCATGTTTACTATTTGAAGAGAGAGTTACGGAGATATGTAAAATAGAATTTCATTCCTCCCCTGTCTGGTCTCTGCGTTGATGGGTTCATGTCCGCGAGAGTGTCACTTATTTCTGTATTTGAGAATGCAAGGATACTTTCCATAGTTAATCGCTCTGTCGAGCCCTAGAACGGGATGGTATTGTAAAAATAGTATTATTTTACATGGTCCGGAACGTCGACCACGTCCGCCGTAGTGGAGAGAAGTGGCCTACTAGGTAAGCACCGTGAACAATTCATTCCTTTCCCACGTTGGTGTCGACAAACAAAATGCCCGAGAAGACGGTCACTGGGCCCACTGACCTTCCAACCATTGCCGAGATCGAAGCGGCAACGGACGTTCTCAGCATGCCTGACAATTCAGCCAAAGTGGTTCGGGTGAGGGAGCATTTTGCGGTCAAATTCGGCAATGGGATTCCACTCGGAGGCGGAAAATATGAGGTTCTTGGCGGCCAACAGTCAAGTGCCAGTGCCCAAGGTCTACGCAGCGTTTATTGAGCCGGGGACTAATCGGACATTTATTATTATGGAATACATCCACGGCGATGACCTGCAGAAATTGCTACCCTCTCTTACGCCACCCTAAAAAACCGTCATCTGCAAGCTTGTTCGGGATGCAATGATTGATCTCCGAAATATTCACCCCCAGCTTATCTGGGGACCGTGAATCGCCAACCGTATCATGACGATGTCTTCTGGAGGAGCACTTCGACCTGCCCAATATCTAGGTACTTCGTGGCGGTGAGGTTTAGGTATCATCTTTGCTCATTCATGGCCTTGAGTGATTTTTCAGCATTTCATGCCCGCACAAATCAAAAATACACCATGAGCTACCCACAACAAAATTTGTTTATCTGGCTCCTACCACGGCCAACAATCACTAAGTTAACCTACCCATTAGCCACTTTACTGGTTGCCCGAAGTTGGAGCAGCAAGGCGGTTAACCTCCTGACAATAAGGGAAATGTACGAGCGAACTTGTAATTTCATACCCATTGCCCCGAAGCATACTTCTCAAGCCGCAGGTTAGGCTTGTTTGCAAAGTACGCTGTCGCTCCAGCGGGTACCCGGTCGTTTTCAATATATAAGATCTTCTCAGGGCCCTTGAAAATACTGATCACACCGAAACCTTCGCTCCGAGACCAGAGAGGAAAGGTAGCAACACAGCACCCACATTCATCTGCCTGAGACGCAAGAGTCTTCTTAGTTGCCGGCCCGTTGAAAGTCTACCATCGTACTGTTAGTCTTAGTGGAAATGAACGAGCTGGTTTGGGTCAACTGTACCGTTGTGCTGAAGTTTACGCCAGCACCTGTCGGGGAGGCATTTATCCCCACCTCTGATAACAGGCGGTTCGGTCGGTATTTGGATACCACCACGGTGATCTCTTCGGTATGTTGGTTTATTACTCGAATGCATGGCGGGATACTTTTGCTGGTTCGGATGATGGCCCCGAAGATGCCCTGTTTTGTGGATCAGCAGTGGCGCATGGATGGTCCTTGACGTGGCCTACCTTGGGTACGGAGTCCAGAGGATAGCTTAGAGCATCTGCCCATTCCACTACGGTCTCTGGCTCGGGCAGATTAGCAGCTAGGATACACTGGTCTGCGGGCTCGTCCAGAGCATCCCAAAACACGGTTTCGCTGGAAGAGTCATGGTCTAGGGAAGGAGTATCGTCCAAATATACATCCTTCGCGTAAAGCTTGAATGGGATGTGAACAACATCGTAGAGATGAGCTGCGGTCTTGACAAACTCGGCGGCATCGCGCAGAATGTCTACGTCGAGATTTACCGATTCCACCAAATAGTTCAGACTGACTGGGCGGTTAGAGACAAGAATCACAAACCGCTCTTCTATAGGAAGGTCGGTTGCAACTCCGTTTGGCCAAGATATTTCCGAGCCCACTAGCTCATCAAAGGAGTTACTTCCAAGTGTTATATCAAGCTCAGCTGGGAGCTCAATGCCCAAGGGCCATGCTCCAGTCAATGATGAAACAGTGCCAACAACATTGATGTTCAGCACGGAAACATAGAGGGTAGTACTACCAGCATTTTCGAGACGAATATAGACGGACTCTCCTTCACTGATCCGATCGCTGCCGGCCATTTGGAAATTTACCTTCGGTTCGCCGTCCTCCACGGTGCCAACTGTGACCTGTAAATTATGTACCAGGAGATCCTGCCTTCTCTCGCAGCGTAATTCTCGAACACGTTTTGCCCGGGCCAGTCGCTCTGCATCAGCAATAATGTCACTGAATGCTTGAGAGGTCACCTCTTCGGTGCTGTCAATCAAGCGTGTCCTGATTCGGATGCCTTCATTGTCGACTAGCACAATAGAGCCCTCTTCATGGCGAAGCTCGGCTAAGGGTTTCTGCTTATCATCCGGACTGGAAGGTTTGAGGTATCTGGATTCTTCCACGCCCGCTTGGAGACCATCCAGGTCTGGAGGAAGAGACACCGGTAACTTGTCAACCACATCATGTTTCAAGAAGGCCAAGGCGCCCTCGCGGTGTATACTCCTCCATGATGGCAGATGTGTTAGCGCAGCTTTCGATTTGAATGCAGCCACAGCGGTAACGGTGGCTTCCACGACCGGTTCTCCTTCTTCTGCCTCATCCGGATTAAAGGGAACCACAGTGTAAACATTCCCCTTTCGCACACCAACCACGCTCCCTGCATCGATCATGGCCTTACCGTTCTCAATCTTAACATACAGCGCACCGGACTTGACATGCTGCAGAGAAAAGTGTGCTCGGGTGTCTGGTCCCTCGACCTGGGGATGCTGCCACTGATGCCGGGTATTAACCAGCTGACAGACCCTGACCAGCGTAGTCCTCCACGACACATCAATGCCATTCGTCTCCCCCATAGCCTTAGCTAAAGCATCAGTCAAGGCCCCAGACCATTGCCCGCGCGCATTGATATGCTCGCAAGCACTTTCCGCTGTGGCCGCGGCAGCGATCCGAACCGCATACGGGTTTCCCAGCTGAAACACCTCACCATGGAAATACCCTTTTTCCCGAAGCTTCTTCAAGTACAAATTCAAATCATGGAATTGGACTTTTGACAAACTCTTTTGCTTGACAGGCTCCTCGTCCGGACCCCGGAACATCCGCCCAGAGTGACAGCAGTCGATAACAATAGTCACGTTCCGTGTTTTGTCCGTCGTATCGCGAAGCAAGTACGATATTTCCACATCGAGGATTCCCCGGAAGTCTCCCTCAGTCGATTCGTCGTAGTCGACTGGGACAAGGAACTGGAACTGCCATGATTTATTCTTCTCCTTTCGGTTCTCGTCGTGCACTAGGGCCCCGTGGCCTGAGTAGTAGATCACCACGGCGTCGCCGGGAGAGGTGACCTCGATCAACTTAGCCCAGGCCTCTAGGATACCGGCGCGAGTTGCACTTTCGTTGTAGCAGGGGATGATTTCAAAATCTCGTCGTGTAAGAAGACCCTCCATGGTCTTGACGTCATTTAGGGTTCCATTCAGCCCGCCATATGTACTGGCGATTAGGAGGGCTCGTTTGTTGGATGACATTTCGGATTTGTCGCTTCTCAGCTGAAGGGACTTTCAGGTGTGGCTTCGTAGAGAGGTATATGGAGGAGGCCTTGCCGCACGCCTAGACTGCTCTGGCTCCGCTCCCATCTGCGTTAACAACTTATATAGCATATCATTATGTTGTGTAGCCCTGGAATCTCGGCAACGTCATATTCTATTGCAAGAGGATTTGCCCAAGTAGGGCATCATGAAGGACCAGGATCCAATAGAAAGTGGTATGTATTAGGCATTGATGCAGTGGCCCGAATGACTAGTTGCAGCTGCATGCAGCCGTACATATCGGTCCGAAAGTGGGATGTCAATGACGACCTGGCGGGCTGGCGAAACACACCCTCATCATCAGGATTAAATGTGATCTACCAAAAGTGCGAGGCTTGCAGGTGTGTAATCAGTAACTATGGTGTTTTTCGAATATATGGATCGTGATACCTAGTAAAGAGTGCCTTTAGAGAAACAGGGTTGTATACAACTGCATCAAGAAATCCGGTTTGAGGCGGGGCCATAACATGTCGCAATGATCGACAAAGCAGGGCAACCACTGGAATTGGCCACAACTTCATCCACCTCTCTAGGTGTTCTACTGCAGACGTGAACTAGTGTCTAGGCTGCCACTTGGCCTCAGGATTCCGAGATGGCCATACAAGGTATCATATGCAGCCTGCCAGGCATACAGACCATGTCAAGTCCACTTGTCCTTATTTCCATGACTCCCCTTAGGTGATTGACAACGTGGATATAACAAGGCTTGATAAAAGTTGGGCAGTGATGCATATCATATCGCCGACATAACTGGGTGAATCCCGAATTGGAATATACCCTCTGCACAGATTCCCGGCTATAACATGGTTGCGAGTCATGAAATTATCACGACGCCTTATATTCGCCTGGAGGTGGAGAGGACATCCTGTCGGAGCCTTCAAAGCTTGGGGCAATATTAGACAGTGTCTAAGAGTAAATCTTGTCCATGTCGGCAAGAACCATGATTTCGTTTTCGCCCATGGATTGGATCGTAGCTATTCTACCATTGATACCCAGTCGACTACATGACAACAAGTACGCCCCTTAGCGCCTTGCAACAACAGTGAGTGTGATATTACCTTACGTTACTGGCAATAGTCGCAGCCCGTGGTACTATAGCGCACCGGTTATATATATCTGATAGAGGTTGGAGTGTGATAGATCACCTCTTGTCTTGCTAGCTCACTATACGCGACCTGCATAGGATAACTATCTTTTTTTAGGTAGTTTCCAACGTGTTTGATCGAATTCAATAAAGTAAACTAGGTGCTTATTAAGGACTGCACTTTATCCGAATGCAACGACAAGTACATGTGTAGTTGTTGCCGAAAACTAGCACACTACATATCCTGAACGATCATAAGAATGTATGAAGACCACCTGGCAAAGGCATGGCTAAGATTATTAAAGAAAATGCACAGCGATACGGCAGCTGAAGCGAAATATCCTTTGCGAGAGTCAAGGAACCCCGGTTCATAACAGCCATGGAGAACCACAGCGTAGGTTAGTTAACCCGCGAATCATACTGGTAGCATGTCTAAACCCCCTCCATGTTTCTCGAAACCATTCGAATTACCACTATCAACCGTCAGAATTCCACCGCATCGTAATAGCTTCAGCGCTCTAACCTCGCAACTGTCCCACAAATGGGGAGCGCTTGGTACCACTACTTGACACGACAGCCTTATGGACGGCAATAATAGTAATCGAATCCGTTGTTAAGATGTGCAGAAGGTGCGGCGTCTTGGTTGGCATGTCCTGGAGTCATCGTATCATCTTTCTCGCCTGCGGTCCGGAGGTCCTCGACGCTATCAACTGGGAGACTAGAAACCAGAAGAGTGTAGGAGAAGAGAAAGGTAAGGAAATAGAAGAGCTTCATATTGGATATATGTTTGTTTGAGACGTTGAGACTTGGGACAAGGATAGGACTGGGTTTTGCATATGCGGATGTTGACGGGTTAAAGTTGTATGAGGACATACATGGGTATAGAAACTGAAGGTCAATATTTATAGTGTGAACCAGCACCATTGTGAATTGTGTGTGGGGTGATGGCCTTGTCTCTGTAGTTTCTCCAACTTATGAATAGATAGTGAAGATGACGTCCATTCCCATGACATAATGTCTTTTCGATACAATGAAAAGTGGTAGCATTGCATGTGTGGAGTAAATTAACCACCTGATAGGATTCCCTATGCTACAGTGACAGAATGAAGCCGCAAGTAATTTACCAAAAGGAATTCTTATTCATCCAGAAGAGACAGTAAAGGAAGGCGGAGGAGATGAGAATAAGACCGGGCATGCCCGACTAGAAATGTTGATATTGCTGTGCTCTTCTATTTTTACTCACTTTATTTTGTGGTAGGCCTGTGCCTAGTTCAAGACTTCAATTGCGCGATTCAGGATGGATGAGGTGTGCCTTGCACATTGCGTTTCAAAAAATCACTGACCCCGCAATGAGAGCTGAGTATGTTTATACAATCTCTTTATATATTATTTGCCTACTCTCCATCGCTTTCTTGCGCTCCCTTCACTATGCTTAGCTTTCTGATATATGGTTGTTGCGCAATCCGTGTACGTATAGCGGGATGGACGAACTGTTCACTCTGAATTTGTGCACTAAATTTGCGGTTCCCAGTGTATGTTTCCACTAAATAACAAAGATAGTTGTCATGATTTGGATTTATGACTAGCCATTGTTATTTATGATTTTTATATATTGTTTGCCTGTTTCTTAGAATATATATTTGCATGATGCCTTCTCAACAAGAATAAGAATGCTGAGAGAGAGAACTGTGAATCACCAACGCCTGGCTGTGAAGATAAATGACGAATACGTCAAACCCCCAAAAATAAAAAGAAAGGAATGAAAACAGTAACCACCTGGACCCCACGGCCGTCATGTTGACGCTGTTGTGTAGTGTAGTGGGTCTTGAAGAGTGAAGCTTCATTTAAAATCCCCATTGAATGGATAATCAGAGATCCGAAACGCCCAGAGCACACCTAGGTAATTATCTGTGGCTAAACATGAGCCCGGCTGCCTATGCAAAACGAAAACAAATTAACGCAGGAGGCTAGCGCCACCAGACTCGATGGCGTCGATTTCGGCTTCTGTCCATGGGAGGTGGTGAGTCTGCGAGGAGAGATTCCTATGGTCAAGGTATTCTCTGCTTGAGTTGATGAACTCCTCCGAAGTCACAGAGCTCGAATTCAGGGATCCCCGCATAAGGGATGCATGGTGAAGGGGACCATGTTGATAGGCCCTAGAGCGGTAGGCGGCGAAAGAGTCATAAGAGCTGCCTGCGGGTGACATCGAGGAAAGCCGAGAGGGGTGGCCAAGCGAGCCTGAGCAGAACTTTCAATTAGCGTACGCTATTGTTATGTCACTGGGAGTCCATACGAGTGACAAAGTTCTGGCCAATAGCTCGGATACGAGAAGCCCGAGCAGCGCCTTGGAGAGACATGGTAGGGTGCATTGTGTTAGATCCGAAAACGAAACGCGGCCAATTGAATTGTCGTAGGCTTTTGCGCGGCTGGATTGACGTCCAATGAAGTATCCTAGGTGGATACTAATGGAGGGGAGGCAATAGGGATTATTCGAAAGATTCTCGGTATCTGTCCGCCAGAACAGGAGCGATGCTAATCGGTGACTTGACAGATGTGAAGTTGGAAATATATTCATGGAAATGAATAAACGGCAAGTGCTCTATAAATTGAGAGTAGACCAAGTCGATGCAGATATCAACTCCTGAACAAGATATCGTATATATATACCTGTCTCCGAAGCCAACATGTATACCTAACATTCGTCGTTGGTGACCAATTCTATCATTGGCGCCTCTCGCATTTTTCGGCTTCGGCAAAGACTCCCGACGCAGGATGAGACACACACGAAGAATGCATCGGGAACAACGGGATCGATACCCCTCAGGCGGAACCTGACCAGGAAAGGTTCCGTTCTGGCCTATGCCTGAAGACAAGACTGCTGCTCCCGCAGTTGAGAAGCGGGGACCAGGTCAGCTATGTGATGCTCGGACTTTGTTCGATATCCAAGGATCTTGTCTCCCGTGGAAAGTATCCTGAGCTACATTCTTGGGTCCTGTATGGAGGTCCACCCTGGCGCTGTAGTTCTAAGTGTACTTCAACTAGCCCGGTCACTCAACTCTAACATACATAATTCGCGAACACTACGTGACCCTTCGCAAGGACAAGCAGCGGGTGAAAAGACTGGGATTTAGACCACATCAAAGGCAGATAGAAAGTCCATAAGCACGTGGTCCTATTATAACAGGGCTGGCAGGTAGCCAGGTGAGGAGGAAGGCCATTGGTGGCTATGGGACCGCTGCTAGAATAAGACAAATCCTGTGGTATGATGTAGAGTCTTCTGAGTTTTGTGCTAGATATACATCGATTATGATGACGCTTGAAAGAGCACTGCGTGAACAGGCTGACTGCCGAAACTACTGCGAGGACCAGGCACTGGCTAATATAGAGGGAGGAATAGTAGCCGATGACACGGAGTTACACAATATCATGGGCCGAGTTTCACGTCTCATCGCCAGCCATTGATGTGCGATGAATATCGGGGTCAATCATCGAAGGCAATTCTATCAACTCTTCCCTATGTAAAGACCTAGGTCGTGCAACTGTGACTGCACCCCCATTGAAGTTAAAGGGAGTTCTTGTTACGGTTAATAGTGTGGTATAACCATGTAGATGCGGTTTGAAAGAAGGCTGGGCCGTAATTGCACCGAATGGTAGAGCTTGCCGCTTGCACTTGTGGCTTGTGTAAGTCGATGATGGTGTGTTCTAGTACAGCGTCCCACCTCACATTATTCAGCCAAAGATCCAGATGCCCAGCTCCGGTGGCAAGCTATTCCTCAACGATATCCGACCCAAGCCTAGCTCGACCTTCGGCTGGCATAGTGGGTCTCTTGAATGCGAAGTGGGCTGCTTCACCTCTAGGTAGGGTCGAGTATTGGGGATGAATACACGGGGTCTGTTATCTCTCGAAGGTTAGGCGAGGCCTTCTCCGTAACTAAGCAATCAATTCAGTTCTTACTAAGACTCGGGTTTAACCTTTGTCTGCACAAGAATCGGACGCAGGGTTCGGCAAGCCCCACCGTGACCAGTATGCAGACATGTCTTGAGGCCCCACGGGGAAGTATTGCATTCAATGCGGGCCATGGTGCTACTTACCTCAAATTCGGAAGAGGTCTATAGTTTCGAGTACACACGGGAATCATACTTCAGTTGGCTCTAACATGACAGGCCCCCTGGGGGGTGGGGCATATATACTGAACCCGAGCCGAAGGAGCTATAAAAATCTCGAGCCGAGCTGATACTATTAGCAAGCACTCCATATTTGTCCTTTGGAGACGGGCGGTTGGCTGTCGCTGCTTGGTTACTCGGAAGCAGAACCCGATGCTTGAAGTCAGGGGCCATTAACAAGGAAGCTAGCTGATCTCCGCAGGGCTAGGGTTACCTGCGCATCCGAGTTTCTAGAAAGCTTGGCCCTCGGGTCGTTAGCAACTACCAAGCTTCGTCGTGGAAAATTGTACCAGTTTAGGATAATCTGAATACCTGATCCGATCTCCGAGCCGAGTCGCTCGTGACTTTTTCGATTCGAACCTGGTGGCGTGAACAAAGTCCTCCGATGCCAGAAGACTTGCATATAAGGGTGCGACTATCCAGCATAATGAGTTCAGCAAAACAGCATCATTCAATAATATAACCACTTGCATCAAAAGCAACTCAACTTCACTTCCGTTCACAACACAATGGCACCTGCAGCACTCCTCGCCCCAGAGCCTCCCGTCGTCATCGGGCCGGCCACCAAGAAGGCCACACGGCCTGCTAGCACGCTTCCTCAGTCCCTCATTGACGGGGCTCGTATCTCCCAGAAAGACACCTTCGACCCAAACAAGCACCTCAACTTCCAACCCCCGAAGCGCATCTACACTATGGAGGAGATTGGCCTGGAAGGGCAGGGTATTTCCACTCACGCCGGCTCGGAGCCTTTCTCTCTCTTCAATGAGGAGGCCATCAGGCAGATGAGGGCAGAGATCTTCAGCGACGAGGTCTTGGCTGAGTGCCAATACTCTTCAACCTTTAACAAGCACATGGTCCGCGGCATGGGTCCAGCGTATGTTCTACCTATTCCTAGAGATACTAGCGGCGTGTACTAACTTTCCCAGCCGCGCGCCTTTCACCTACGACGCATGGAACAACCCTGAAGTTCTCCGCCGCATCTCTGAGGTGGCCGGCATCGAGCTCATCCCTTCCGTTGACTTTGAGATCGCCAATATTAACATCTCGGTCAACAGCAACCCCACTCAGGTTGTACCGGAACAACAGGTCTCGTCTAACGAGGAGCTGCCCGCCGTTGCCTGGCATTATGACAGCTTCCCCTTTGTCTGTGTGACCATGCTCTCTGACTGCACTGGCATGGTTGGTGGTGAAACGGCCTTGCGCACGCCTTCAGGTGAGATTATGAAGGTCCGGGGCCCCGCAATGGTAAGTGCTAGCAATCTATCCCGTCTATCCTTAATCACGTATTAACTGCGTTTGAAGGGTACTGCGGTCGTTCTGCAGGGCCGGTATATCGAGCATCAGGCATTGAAGGCACTGGGTGGTCGTGAGCGGATTAGCATGGTCACTTGCTTCCGGCCCAAGAATCCCCTGGTCCGCGATGAGACAGTTTTGGTCGGTGTGCGTGGTATCAGTAACCTCTCCGAGCTCTACACTCAATACACGGAGTACCGCCTGGAGCTATTGGAGGAGCGTCTCCGCCTCAAGCAGAAGGAGGAGCGCCGCCGCGTCGTGGCCAAGCGGCCATTCGATATTGCTGATATCCGGCAGTTCTTGAAGGAACAGAAGGCCTTCCTAGAGTCGATGCTGGAGGAGATCATCGAAGTCGAGTAAATGTCAAGATTGCTGAGATGTATATGATGACTTGTGAAGTTTAGATTTGTTGACTCTGTTTTAGCAAGTTGTATGTTAGCGGCATGGTCCTTCTGTGAATTTTCTTTTTCGTTAGTGTATTGCAGTCCTTAGATATTTGGTAAAAATTTAGTGATTGAAGATATATAACCATTTTCGCGCATTACCACACTTTTGAGCTGTCCGAGCTTATTTTCCCTAGTTCCTCATCCTATCCGATGAGATGGAATGGTTTTTCGCTTTATCTAAACCAAGCCGGCTGCTGATCCGTATTGCGTCGAGTTTCTTCTTCTGTAGCTACCTCTATGGCCTATGGTGGGAGTCGTACTGAACCCCCAGACTTGCAACCTCTAATATTCTGTACACAGTTTGTGTCCGCCAGCAGATGTTTATTTGTTGCATCTTTTCTTCTTTGGGCCTTCGCCAAGCCCTGTGGAAATGGCTAAGAGTCTTTGTATAAACTTATTTGTATCAGGACCTCCACCCTTGGTGCCTCTACTGGTAGAAGTACATCGTTACTTACAACTTCGTACATTGGATAGAACACAAATCCATAAATGCAAAATAAAACACTCACTCTGTTCAGATAGATGTACAAGACCCCTTGTCCTCCTGAAGACCCTGCATGGAACTGAAGCCATGCCACTCACCGTACGCGACTTAACCCCAAAGAGTAAAAAGTTCCCCGACACCCTGGACCCCACGGATGGGATGCAGGGCAAGTCGAGATGCATCACTTGACCGTATAAGTTGACGCAAAGGATTCCCATGCGCGCCGAAGTGTGGGTTGTTTCATCGGGTTCAGAACCCGAGATAGGGTCGGCAGTCGCCTAGATCCGATCTCGACCCGAGGCCGATCCGAAACGACATGACTCGCTCGCTTCGCTTTATACATACATCCCATACAGAATAGTATATATACTTATTTGCGCGTGCGTATGTGTCCAGTGCATATTGATACATTAGTCTATTTCACTTATCTGTGTCCATTGGAAGGCGATTTCACAGCCACGCCAAAAGCAACTAATCCCTGCCTCTATTGATACTACCAAACCAAGACAAAAATGCCAGCCCAAGAAAACGAACTCCAAGCGGTCTCCCTAGCCCTGCGCACAGCGCGGGCAAACCAAACCCCAATCCAGCCCCCGAGCAAGACATGGCCGACGCTGGACGCCGAAGACGGGTTCAAGATCCAACAGATCAGCACCGAGCACGCGGTGCAGAACGGCGACCGTCTGGTGGGCTACAAGCTGGGCAACATTGCCAAAGTAATGCAAGATGCATTCGGGCTCGACCACCCTGATTACGGCTTCCTTCTTGCCAGCACCTTTGTCTACGAGAGCACCACCATCCGGCGCAAGGACTACATCAAGCCGTACGTGGAGCTGGAGCCGGCATTCGTACTGCGCGGACCACTCAAGGGCCCCAATATCACGGTCGCCGATGTCATGAATGCTATTGACTACGCTATCCCCGCTATTGAGATCATTGACTCCCGGGTGCAGAACTGGGAGATTGGGCTGGCTGATACGCTAGCCGATAATGGGTCCACGGGGGCTGTTATTCTGGGTGGAACGCCGAAGAAGCTTACTGAACTTACTTTGAGGGATACGAGGGGTACGTTAAGGTTTAATGATAAGGAGGTCATGGATGGGAATACGGCGAATGTGCTGGGGAATCCTATCTCGGCGGTAGCGTGGTTGGTCAACCGTTTGGCTGCTTATGATATTGAGTTTCAGCCGGGGCAGGTTATTCTTCCAGGGAGCTGCTTGCAGGCTGTACCGATGGAGGAGGCGGGGCATTGGAAGTGTACTTTTGAGGGTTGGGGAACTGTTGAGTTTGATGTTGTGTAGAGGGTTTGGTTTGGGATTTCATGCATAGATTTAGATTGCGATAGATTTTGTTCACATATGATGCGTTTCACCAAGTTTGCTGCCTTAATTAAACTATGTTTGATTCAAATACACCTTCTAGCTGTTCGCGATGATTGTGTTATTATATGAATTTATTATGAAACAGGGAAAAGAATACCTTGAGATGCTCCATATATCACTGGTTTTCTAAATATATTTATATTGGGGTATACGGTACAGCTGCTCTTCACAGTTCGCTGCTATGTGGTCACATATTTCTGGAACCTCCAACATAATGATACAGCTCGTTCACAGAGGTTTCCCTACGACACCCTCTACAAAATGTAGCAGTGGGTGCACCGGCGACGTTCAGTTCCAGCTCTGACCCCTTCATCGTCGGCATCTGCTCGGGTCTCCTGACCCACCAATCCGCAGAAGCCGAGCCTTTGGGGGTGTGGATGAAGCTAATTGACTTAGGGCAAAGAGATTGGCGGATGCAACTCCCGATGCTAATTCTGGGTCGGCGATCAAAATGCTCCTGTTCCGGGGACAGCGTGTGGTTAGCTCTCCATTGACTCTCAGTCCATTCACCAGTGACTAATATGTATGGAAATAGGAATCCTGAGTATTGAGACATCCTCAGAGGGGGAATAGAATCTGTAGTACCCCCAGAGAAGCACGTTGCATGCAAGAGGATGCACCACTCGGGACAAGGCACTGCGTGATACTGCTACCGTCGGATAGCGCAGACGACTACAGGGACTCTTGGTGGATTCGGAGTTTAATAGTCGCACCCTTTCTAGGCCTCTCTAGGATCAAGAAGGCTATACGAGTCATGATGGCCAATCTGCGCGACAATGGAAAAGAACTCGTAGGATGAAATTCCCAGACTATCCAGGCATTCCATATTACTGGCCGTCGGTGGGAGATCGGAGGGTAAGAGCTCCTGGTCCCCATCAATCGGTAGATTTGGCTCAGGTATTGGGAGCAGTTGACTGTCCCGCTGTTGCGAGGAATTTTCAAGTGCATGGTCATCCTGTGGTAGACTCGGTAGAGTGAGGGTTTGAAGACCACATCGCTCAATCCGCGTGGCCAGTTCTTGGAACAGGTACTCGAGATGCGTCAATTCAGCCTTCCGCGCGGCCGCCACCTGGTTCCCCTTGTAGATCATCCCGTCAAGAATGGCGTACGCCTGGTTGAGGGAACAGTCTTCCACAGCCCCAGGGAAAAGGGTATGTGCCATCATCAGATGAATTGCGGCTCCATATGTGTATTCCAGGTCAAATGGCAGGAATGCCTCTATTGAGGCTTTAGCAACGGGAGCATAGTCTTATAACAAGAGCATCTCCTTACCTAGAAGATCATTTTCATCAGTCAGTAATTGCAGCGTCTTTGCAGCTGACTTGATCCCGGTCGCGATCAGTGCTTCAGTAGCAACCAGCAAGCTCTGCCAGTCTTCTTCGCCATGACCTAACTTCTCCAACCGCTCTTTGAGAACGGAGAGCAGGAGCGGGCGCGTAGCAACAATAACACACTAGATAATGAACGAAGTTAGCAATCAAAGGCAATTGCACAAAGAGCCATAAATGCGTACCTGGTGATATATTAACATTATCAGGCGTGTCTCTCTGGGCACCCGGTGAAGGGGTTTCTGGAGCTCAATTGACACCGCACTTTCAATTTCCTGGGCAAGCCCAGCCATGGTATGGAGAATCGACCTCGTCTGCTCGAGGAATATCCCGAGTTGAGTTTCCTCGGTCTTGTAGATTGCTGTTATGTAACGGTCAGTGAAGCTGGAGAGAAGTTATCGGTCGGGAACGCGGCTTACAGGAAAGAATGAATGAGAGCATTTGAGACAGTCGAACCCGAAGACTCAGAGTTGCATTGCGCGAAGAGGCCGTTGGTGAATCGATCAAGGTCGTGATATCGCTATCTTGGGTAATCATCGGCAGCCCCAGAGATGACGAGAAATGTCGGTCCATCAGGTAGAGAGTCCACCACAGATTATGGCAGCGGGTCACTGTGTCGACTCCGAGCTCCTCCTCAGGCAGCTGGGTATGCATCCCCTCTAATTGTGCGATTCGTATGGCTTGGCCCAGCTGCACCTGTCAGCAGATCCACCAGTAGAGATCTCACATGGTGTCCGACTTACGTATACATGAGCGGACTCTCGATGATCAACGGAATACAAGTACAGTCCTGCGAGTCCCAGCACCTCAATAGCGAGCACGCTGTCCTTCCACAGGGTTGAATGCTCCGGCATGAGGGACATTGCCCGTAAGAAGTATTTTGCTCCCGGGGGCTCCCTAGTGTTTTTGGTAGGCTGTACAACAAAGGCACTTCCGAATGCCAACACCAAGAGGAATTGGACAAACCATAGCTTACATTCCATGGCCTTTTGAGCCGCATCTCCGTAGTAGAACTCGTGGAGATGTCCCAGAAAGGTCTTTTCTTCGAACAGGAAATAGTTTTGCCCCATGTAGAACATCACTGTGTTCAGCAAGTAGAGAGCATGGTCCAAAGACGGCAGTCCATGGATATCAGGTTGGTCGTCCGGTGCTGCGGGGCGCCAATGTAAGAGATAGATGTCTCGATCGATGAGATTTGGGGCGCTGTGCGATTCCTGGTTGAGTTTCTCAGTCATCATCAGCGTCAGTCGCGCTGTGAATGACCACATAGATGAAGGAGCCAGCCAGACTATATGACACCGTTAGCGCTCATTCATTTATTGGTTTAGAAGCCCAGTCTATCCCATATTCTGCATGTTCATTCATCTTCCCCGGTGATATGGGGACTTGGTGCCATATGAACATCCTTGTGGTGGTGTACGTACTCCAACTGCGCTTATTCCGGTGGGTATTTTTGATCGTTTTCGAGGGCAATGTGAACGGGCTGGTCCAGATGCTGCGCGCATGATCAATCCTTAGTGGTGAGTGTATAACCGGCGCTTCGGACTCTACGGCCTCTGGATCGAATCAGTGGCGTTCAGCAAAGGATCGTTGTATCGTTGTTTCGTGATCTTATACCTTCGGCTTCCACATCCGGTGTAAACGCAGTCTCCGACGACCGCTTCATACCCTGAGAATGAGACTTCTCATACGCCTCCCGCCGTAACTGCTCCAGATAACTGGCATATGAATTAGCAGGATGACTCGCATTGAATGGAACATCGACGTACCTCTCGGTCACGACGACCTTGTTGGGTGGTTCGGTAAAGACGCATCGCACCTTGCGACGTTGGCAATTATTGCACGGATCCGTTCCCGAGCATTTAATTTTGCTCTGCCGACAAGAACCACAACTGTGGCGCCCTAGTGTCAGCTTCAGGCTATAATTCAACGGCATGGGATTGCTCCTTACGCGTTTGCAGTGCGCCTGACCTTGCGCGACTCGGGTTTACTATCGGCGGCCATAGTGCATGAGATACTGCTCCGGGGGGTAGTATGGAGGAATAAATTCTGGGGAATGGGGAAAAGGCGCAATAAAGCCGAAGGCCATTCCATCCATACCCCACACTATCCACTTCAACCGTGGAGGTTGACCCGACTTCCCGAGATTCGGTCCACTCCTAACCTTATACGTCGGTCTACCATTAGTATTTTGTATTATTTTCTAAGTAGATGGTATTGGTCCGATATAATACTATCTGGAGCACTGGTTTATACGTTATCGAATGTCCATGTTCTCCCTAATGTATCCTGTTCCTGCGAAACGTGATACAGCCCCTGCTTTGGTCTCTATTTCCTTCTATCGATCTATATAGGTTTTATATTCATACAACGCGTAACCATAAATTTCACACAGAGTTCGAGTTATCCGCACAGGAAAAAGCAGCCGAACCTCCACTGGAGTTGTACGTATCAATAATCCCCACCACCGACCCGTACGTTCCGGCAACCATAAGAAAGGTTCCGGAAACGATCACGAAAATACTGAAACAGACCATCCCATACCACTTCTTGGTCCTGGCTGTATTTCCCCAGTTATCATAGAGCCACATGCCACCCATTGTCTGGAAACACATGAGTGGGCCCAGTAGCGCACCGATAAGGGAGACTAGTGAGTCGAAGACAGGAATCACGCTGGCAATGATATATGCAATGACGGCAATACCAAAGGTACAGCTAAGCCAGCAGATCCAGTGCGTCGGCGTGTTGCGGGTCAGGTGTTTTGAGCCCCGGAGGAGGTGAAGGAAGATGTATTTTGCAGGGATCTTTACGAAGTACCAGGTGTTAGCTTAGTCCAGCAGGATGGGTTAATGAAGCCTTACATGAGACACAATTGTTAATGTAACAATTAACCCGGGCAAGGCGAATCCGTAGGAGATTTTCTTCACGGTTCCACCAGCAGAGCCGAGGGCTGGTGATGAGACATAAGATCCACAGTAGTAGTAGACAACGACACCGATGATCATATAGATAAGGGTTACACCGGCCTGGCATGCCATCACAGCTTTCGTAAATTGGCGAGGTTCACGCATTTCAGAGACGATGGAGAAAAATCCCGGTGTGCCGGAGAATGCAAAAACGATGGCAGATACGGCGGTAATGCCTTTGGTAAAGCCTGGAGTGTTCACGACTTTGAAGTCGGAAACCCAGACACCTGGTGGTGCAGCTGCAGGGTGATCTTGGATACCAACGGCAACAGTAACAATGAGAACTAGGCCGTGTTAGATATATATGAGCCGATGGGACGTTGTCTGGTAACGGATTTACAAGTACGTACTTGCAGTAAGAATGCACGGCAATCCGATCCACGCGAGCCAGGTAATCTTGCCCAGCGTGCGAATACTACTAAACAGAAAGCCTGGAATAGCCGCAATAACCACAAAGATAGCTGTGCAGAGGGCATGCGTTGAGACTGCATTGAACCCGATCGAGATCCCGAGGATACCAGAGGCGGCATTGAATATGTAATCTATGATACAAGTCAGTATGTCACTTCCATTGATCCTTGATTGAGGAACCTACAGAGACAAAATGCAGTTGCAAGAATGACACGCCCGATCGGACCAAGTATTAAAGCTCCTGCATCATCGATTCCATATATCTCCCGATGGCGAAGCTTGAACGTGCCAACAACATAGGCAGACCATGTCGTGATCGCAGCAACGGCACATAAAACAATCACACCGGGAACCATGCCCAGGGTATCAAAAGCTGTCGGTATAGACAAAACGCCCAAACCAATCTGGGTTTTCATCATGAGAATCACAGTTCCGAAGAAGCCCACCTGGACAATGGTCAGTTTTGCCAATTCTTTACGCACATGTGAGCCTTGCAAAGACATACATTACGATAATTAGGACCCTCCTCTGAGATTTCTCCAAAGACGGCATCATGGGTCACCTCCTCCCATACTTCTTCCGTCTTCGGGGGATAATCCTGCATGTCACCAATGGTGTCATGAGGCGTACTTCGTTCAGATAGACGATCCATATTGAAAGTGTGAGTGGAGAAATGGCTAAGTCTCATTTTTCCAGGCCAAGCTGAACGCTAAGCCTTCTTATACCCAGGATCTGGGGAACAATATGGGGGTGGAGGCACGTCATTTCGAATCTCGTTGGGGGGATTAGGAATTGGTCAAGTATCCTCTCTAATTCGTGTACCGTGAAGCCCCAAACCCCGCGATATGGGGGCTGTCGTGTTTGCGGGGAGACGGTGGGGCGAGTTTTCGTCCTATCCGAACCCGACCCGTGGTCATGGACGGTATTTCTCCCTCTTCCAGAGCCGGTGAGTCTACTCTGTACTAACTAAGATTTTAGGGTTCACCTTGCCGGTGTTCCTGCCGGCGACGGGTCGGGAGTCGAACCCGATAGCCCTGGACCGAGCGTCAAACTTTGTTTGACTTGATCTAACTACAACGACAAAATCAACACAGTCAATGATTCCATGGTATTTCTAGAATTATTCGAGAGCGCTACCAGCGAGAGAGTCGATGGCTGTTATATTCTAGTTTTTCCGGTGCATATCAATCCTTGCTAGGGTCACAGATATGGGACTTCTTCCACGCTAAGTCCATATTAATTAAATGTACCCTGTCTAGCATGCAGGAATTAGGGCTTCCGGGGCACAGTGCGCCTACCACTCGTTGCTCGGATAGCCTAGTAGCCGCCGTCCGCTGAATTGAGAAGACTATGTGGAGCTTGGTGTGAGAACCCCAGCTCGCTAATATGCAACAGGTTAAGTAAATGAGAACATCGGAGGAATAGGAACCGATTCAGTAATGTCCGCCATTCTATGCAATCTTTCTAGAAATAAAAGCTTGCAGACCGTTAAACTTGCTAGTTTGGGCTATAAAGACCCGTAGGCCCTGGGTACATGCCTTCGCCCTCATCCTGTCGGCACGAGAGAAACCATATTTACGGAGCAAAACGCAATGTGTACACAGAACGCCGGCTTCTGTCCGAGAAGTTTAACTGGACTATCGGGAGCCAAATCAAGTGTCTCAGGTGTTCCTGACATAGCCCTATCAATCCCATTGGGTCAGGTAGAAGATGGTAACGCCATCGCTGGCCCTCCAGGCCCTCATCCTTGTCGCTATCATCAAGGATAGCAAGATCTTCGGGTCCAGGGCTAGTAACATCTCCACTGGTGTTGGTGTCTTGACGGAGACCCTTCCACCCAATTAACAAACAGGTCCAGGATCCCAGTGTCGTCACCATCCACATTGGTACCATCGCTGGTCAACTCGTCGAGAAGATTACCAAAATCGTGACCTGAGATAAGAACGGTCTCGCCTGCAGCTCTGGCATTGTTGGTGAGGTCAACAAATCGCCGAGAACTGCCCGCAACAGATCCTCTCTCTTATTGTGTTGAGGGCTCACGTCCTTTAAAAATGGGGGCAGTATTTTCCTCCTGTGTATTATGGGTAAGCTATAGATCCAGAGCCTGACGCACATGAGGGCCTACCATGCGGTCGGAAAGGCATCTCCGAGAGCGTGGATTTGATCTTCTCGGAGCCATAATTCCTGGAAGGCTAAGTGCTGACTGACATGCACACCTTCTAAAGTGTAGTTTCTCCCTATCTCACAAACGGCATCCCACCACGAACCAACACTTCCCGAAACCTTCGCTCGTTGCAATATAGAATGCGTAGATTCTGTGCCCTAGTTGTGTATTAGCATGTGGTATTCTAATTAACAACAAGCATAATTTCACAGGGATTGCATCGTACTGGAGTTGTCCATCTTCGCTTCTAGTGTGAGATGTACGCGCATAATATTGGCGACTAAATCTGCATGGAAGGGGGGCATGAAGTTTACCGCGGGAAATGGCAGATTTCTCCTAATCTTCCCGGAACCATTCATGCGCAGAGTAATATCTTTGCCGAGACTATCTCTACAACCACATACCTTTCTTTCTGTCTTGCTTTTGTTTTTCTCCATTTCTCACGATTTGTGACCATTATATTTCATGTTTAGAGCCAGTCTAAACGTCATTACAGAACTAGATGAGAAATCCCGGTATCGATATTTCTTTTTTCATTCGGACCCATTTGGGCTAAGATAAGAGTTAACTATGTAATCTAATTTGGATTAACTATTTATTCCTCTGACGGCTGCCTTGTAAGTGAACAACACCATAGTTATAGACACGAAGCCTTCCAACACAGCCAGAATAATGTAGGAACAAGAAGCTACCACTGCTTCACATCAATCAGCCTACTGGTGATATGTAGATATCAAAATTAGGCTGTTATATCAGACATTATATAGACTGAATGCCTTGGAGAAGACGGTCAGTACATATTAAGCAGTACAAAGGTTACTAGATTATAATTCAGTTACTACTTAAGTCCGTTACAACTTGTTCTCTGGAAGTCGGGGCCTGGTTGAATTTGTTTAGCTGAGGGTATCAGTAGTGATGTAGACACTAAAAAGTTACTCTGTAGCAGATGTCTCTGGGGTTGATTTATATGATGGGTTGATGGCCGATATTAAGGGCTCATGAAGTTTTGACTTGTAGATAGTTTCTTTAAGCCTTATGCGACGTTTATTTACTGTGAAATCTACAACGGCGAATTTGTCAGAGCAGCTCATAAGAGTATACTAAAAGCATGTGATCTTTCTGTACTAAAAGGATCATCTTGCTAGTCCTCCATGGGGTTGACTGAGTTCACATTAAAAGAGATGCATGCGCTACAGATCACGCCAGCCACACAGGCTACAGGGCAAGATATTCTCCCTCGACGACTTTATGGACACCTTCTACATGGCCATGAGTATCTGTTTGTTGTGCCTGCCCTTTTTGGGAGCATGAATGAGTGATACATTGGCCCATTTCCGTACTCCTTTCCATCCTGCTCGGGAACTGAAGAAATCCGTATGTTTCTGACAAAGACGAACGGGCTTCTCTCAAATTCTGGTTCTTTATTAACTCCAGGCTAGTAGACTCTGCACGGGATATCAGCTTTTGTCCCTCTGCAACAACATATAAAAAGGTCATTATCTAAGACGTTTCAAGATTTCACCTAGTTAAAGCGCCCATATCATTCGCATATGTGAATGCTTTCTGCAGTTTCGCCTCTTTGTGTGGCTAATAAATGCCAGGGTTATATACTGTTTCTTTGCCTTTAAATACCACAACGTACCGAAGTCCCACAACATGTTTTCAAGCCAACTCATCAATTCTAAACACCCTACTTGCTCCACGAAAGAGAACAGCCTTGAACAATTCTATCTTTCAGGCACATCTCGACTATAAACCCTCAGTTGATCAACGAACTGAAGATCACTTCAGAATGTGTACCGTTTACGTCTCTATAAAAGTTTACCAGTGCGGTGACGCAATCAAGGAAGACACCAAGTTTGAACCTTGCGACAACATCGGCACCACCGCTTGCCCCGGTCGCGAGGAGAGCTCCTTGGCTTCCAGCCGGGTGAAAGGAAAATGTGGACGCCATGATTGTAGAAACCCTTGATATCGGAGCCAACTTTAGATAGGATTTGGAACAGATGGTTTTGTGGGCTGAGAGCTGCATATAATGAGTGTGTAGGACTAGCAGAAAGAACGGCAAGGTTGCTGCATGGATTCAATTTTAGGCCAAGTTATGCCCATATCAAAGAGCTTCTATCTCGCCGAAAGACAAGCTTGATCTTGAATAAGCGCCCCTGCATCACTATAGCGTTCGGTCCAACACCCTTGTATCACAGCACCACCAAGTAGACCATCAACTGGAGGATACGTCCTAGATGCAAAGAGCCCATCTACCATTTCTCCGTAGTCAATTTTCTCCTCTAGGGATTTGAATGGCCCAGGAGACCTGTAGGGCCAATGGCCGGTCATTATGGTGTAAAAGATCGACCCGAGACTGAAAATATCCACAGCCTCCGTTGAGACCCATGGCCAGCATGGGTTGAAAAAGCCCGAGTCGGGAAGATGCCCACCATCGATGTCACCACATGTGGATCCACCAAAATCACAGAGCAAAAGGTCGAGCCTGTAATTGGAGTCAGAGTGTAAGAGGAAATTGTCTGGCCGTAGATCGGAATGAATGACACCCTTTTGATGAATATAGTGGACAGCTTCCGCCGCCTGGATGCACCACTTCAATCGGAGACACTCATCGATATTATCATGATACTGGTCGATATAAGTCTGCAAATCACCATCACTGGCTTCTCCGAATAGCAATCCCCGAGGTTCCTCTAAGACACCAATATAGCTACAGTGGAATGTAAATTAACAACGTGAAGCACTGGAGCTTCAACTGACGTACCGTATTATTCTAGGGTGTGCACCTAGTATATCCAAAATTCGCTTTTCAACCTCGAAACTTTGCTTAATGTCCTTGACAAAGGGATGGCGATCCGCTGCTTCCGCATGCCACCACGAATATCTAGGGTATTTAAGGACGACACCTGGCTTCAATCTTGCTATCAAGGACGTGGAGCCTCCGCTCAGAATTTCATTCAAATGGGGCTCGTAGAAAACCCGGTCTGCTGTTTTGCCGGGCAAGGCAGTTTGATGCTCTTCGTTTGATCCCGAAACATCGTTCTTCGTGGCGGCTAGGGAGTCCCTTTTCGGTAGGTGTCCGCACCGCGTGGAAGACATCTCCAGAGGCGCAACAACATTGTTGGGGATGCTATAAGGAAGGTTTGAGACAATCAGTAGGATACAACAAAGGCGCACGACTGTCACCTGACATGGACAACGCTGCACGACTTTAGTTCATTCGTCCGACATAGAATCAAGTTCTGTGATATCACGTGCCCCATCAATATCAACCGTGAACCTCCCAGCGTCCCTGCAAGCGACAATGTCGTCGCACAGGCATCCATCATCGCTTGAGGGAGTATGAGAATTCTCAGAGCCGTTCTCGCTAACTCCACAGCAATCTGATTCCGCGAAGAGACTCTTTGACACATTCATCACGTACTATGGACTCGACCGAGCAACGGAAAGGGGCTATATGCCTACGAAATTCGTATCCTTTCTTTTACATATCTTCATGAAGCTTTCACTAATCTTACGTCAAATATTACGTTGGCCTTCTCGTACTTCGAGGATATCACTTCTCGAGAGCCTGGTGCGCGAAGCCATGTTATGAATGCTCTTGAACAGTTTGCAGACTATATAGTTACGCAGTTCTATCTTCCGCGTATATTTGTCATGTATCCCACTTGCTATTACTCTTTAACTCAAGCAATTTACTCCATTAAGACACCGCAGCCAACACCTACATCCTTGTCCGCAATACAAGGGTGGACTGCCACTGGTACCAAACAGCGTATATCTATTTTGAGACGCAACTGCCTTGATCGCCATCGATGCTCAAATTTCGAACCACAACTGAAACTCCGTTCTTCACATTTATCCTGCCTGCTCCCGAGACTGATGAGTCGTATACTTTTGGTCACCAAGTTGCTTGTAGAGTTGACCGGGTTCCCTGCTGGACCGCCCCGTACCCGCCCAACCCGGCTCTGGGGCGGGCTCTAGATCTAGAACCCGAACCCGACCCGGTGCCAACTGTAATACTAGTACCGAGTAGTCCTATTTTAACAGGAGTCTAGTAATAACTTCTGTTCTATACTAACTAGTTATAACTCAGTATTAACAACAGTTGCGACTCGAGTTTTAGATTGGTACAGTCTAAGTATAATCTACTAACTGATTTAGGACTTGACAATAAAGCCCTGGGCGTAACATAGATATATACAAGGTGGGTCAAAAGTCTGATTACACTAACGCGTTTCCGCGACGCGTCAAAAAATCGCAACTTTTTCAACCACCTACCATTTCATCAAAATGAGGTCTTTTGGAACCGAAATTAGTGGAAATCGAAGGCCTAATTCTGAGCTTTTTACTGAAACCCGTGCGGCTATATTATCTGGTCTAGATAACCAGGTATCGCCAACTCAATTAGCTAAGCAATTTGGTGTCAGTCGAAATACAATTTATTTAATTAAAAAACGCTTCCTGCGCAACCACACCTTGAAATCGCTCCCTAGAAAGGGAAGGCCTATAAAGCTCAGTCATTCTACTAAGCGCTATATATATCTTTTAGCGCGCCGGATGCCTAGACTGAGCTATAGAGCTCTCTGCGTAGGTAGTGGTTCTGGGGTCTCTCCCTCCACAGTTAAGCGTGTTTTAAAGACTTTTTATTTAAAAAAGTGGAAAAGTAAGAAGCGAATTACTTTAACACCTGAAGTAGCTAAAAAAAGGCTTAGATTCGCGCGTGCGTGGTTGAATTATCCTAACTGAAGGATATCTGGTTTTTCGACGAATGTTCCGTGCAGCGAAAGTCCAATTCTTCTACTCAATATGTCTTTCGTTTCTCAAACGAGGCCTATAGACGCGATCTAGTGAACCTAATAAACCATGGAAAAGATATATCCCAGATGGTATGGGGTTCTATATGGCTAGGTGGTCGATCAGATTTAGTGGTTATGGAACGGGATGAATTATCACAACGAGGCGGTTATTCAACGAAATCCTACCTTGTCTGCCTAGAAAAAGGCCTTCTACCAATTTACGAGCCTGGAATTATATTCCAGTAAGATAATGCAAAAATTCATGTTTTCTACGAGGCGCAGGCATGGTTTGAATCCCACGGGATCTGGGTTCTAGAATGGCCGCCCCATTCGCCTGATTTAAATCCTATCAAGTATATCTGGGCCCTATTAAAACGCAAGCTTCTAGAGCTCTATCCTATGCTTTTTCTAGGGGGAAGGTCAGAAATCGACTGGACCCTATTTAAAAGGCATATTAGGGAGGCCTGGTGGGCTATCCCACAAGAGGTCATAGATCGCCTAATTCTATCTATGCCTCGCAGACTTCAGGCTGTACATCAGGCACGTGGCTGGTATACAAAGTATTAATATGGGGATTCTATAGAACTACTTTGTAGATAGATATCTTTTGAATTGGTTGAGAAAATCGAGTTTGAATTCGTTGCGTTTTTCTGATTTTTTCGGGTGTAATCAGACTTTTGACCCACTAGTTTATTACAACATAGCCGAAAACAGGAACAAAGATAATCTTGTGGATCTACTTCCAGTCAGTAGTAATTAGATGGTATAGTATACTGTGTATTTTATTTTATTAATGTAGTACTAAGATCATCACTAATATCTAATTTAGGTAGTCGACAGTTTCTTAGCAGCTAAGGCGTTATAGAGATCATCGTCCAGGTGTTGGAGTACGATCGCCGGTGGGTTGGCTGGTTCTTCTATCTCGTCAATCACACGACGAAGGCCAGTTGTTCGCGATTGAAACCTTTTCAGAACATCTCTCTCATTTGTGATCCGGGAGTGATGAGTGCACTTGACTAAGACAGGTGTTCCTGTGTCAATTCTGTTGACAGAATAAGTCTAAAATTGATAATCTAGGGTGAAAAGCAACGGAGTACCTTGCCAACCATGCACTTTCGTGTAGCTGTTTAATAGCATTATATGTGCTACATCTCCCTTTAAGTATGTGAATAAAAGATTTGCATCCTCCCTCTTGGCAACTAAACTAAACTGATTATATGAAGACCCGCCAGCCTATCACGCACGGTTACAGCATACCGATCTTATCGACTTCCTTAGTCAATATTCAGAGTTACCACGGTTGGCCACCCGAATACCAGACAGTATAGACGAGATGCCAGCGATCGAAATATCTTCGGAGATGTGCCAAGATCTTATAAGGTTCGCTATAGATAAGACGAGCGAAAGGATACTATCGCGATAGATCTAGGACCGAGGGCGAACGTATAGGACAGTAGGGCATCCGTAAAGCATACACGACTGACCGACCGAGATTTCTGCCCATTTATATCCAGTAGTCCCGCGACCGATATAGATGATTGTTGGATCCTTGCCACCACCAGTAATCTGGGCGTATCCAAATCCACTGCCCTCATCGACTACAACCGCGCAAACGTTTGGTGATCGTTCATATTTGAAATCGTTTTCTCCCGTTACCTCGTCAGATGCAAGCTGGACGTTTTCATTATCTGATATCTTCTTCAGTTAGTGCTTTGTTTATGCAAATATAGGGCCAATGTACTTACTAGCATCGTCGCATTTTCAAACAACTTTCTCTTATCTTGCTTGGTGCGTATGGAACTCATTTCTAACATGCACACAATGCTTAGAGCTTCGAGGCAGATAGCTGGTATGGTGGATGCTCGCTTTTCTATCCAGGATTCTCAGAAGACCAACAACAGCAAGAATACTAATAGATGAGAGGCTTGAAGAATCCGTTTCTTCGCTGTTGAAGACGTCAGTTTGCTCTATTCCACGCATCTGAGGGGCAACTGTGGAAATCGGTTGGACGTGGTGATGGATCACATGATATTGGTCTGCGTCACGTTTGCCCACCTCTCTATACTTGAAAGTCATCGTGGTTCCAGAGAAGGTCAATTCTCTTCTTCGCACTGCGCTCTCGGGTGCCGAGTACTAGTAGCCGTACAGAGGCCTATTGCGTCGCGAAATGCACCCTGGTTCCCTTGTTATTGTCATCATAACAGATGCCAGTCATGTGCTCGCGCTTGTCGTTTGGACTAGCACTGCGCTCAGGCTCTCTGCAAACACCATTAACTTTGTATTGCTTGACTCTGCCTTTCATTCATCCCTGATACACACTTCGTTGCTACTCTGGGGCAATGGTTTTGAATATCTTTCATATATCTTCCAGCTATAACTATCTCGAACCAAATAGTATTGAGCTCTTTTGATCCACATGACATTGCTAGCCTGTTGGTAAACAGTAAGGTGACTAATGAAGGAGAGATATGCTCACCCCTTCGTGGTCCGAATTACAGTAATATGCGACTTGGCCTCGGTCACTATGCTTGAACTATTCTGAATTTCGTGACAGTGCATAGTGTCATTGGATCAAACTCAACACGAGAAATATATCAAGAGGCCTTCCACACCCCATATATTAACCTCAGTAAGCATACAACAAACCTTCATCCGCACCTGGAAGAATACCCTGTCTAATCTTCCTATTCGTGTTCTGCAGCCAGAACCTCAAAGCCCATGCACTAATTATGACAGCCACCCCAAAGGCCGCATTGGACGCCATGGCAGTCAGATAACGCGGCCCATCACTTTTGGGATAGAGATACGCCGTATAGATATAGGACGCATTGGCAACAACATTGACGAAAGAGAGGGACGCAGCCTTCTTTTCCGGCGTCTGTCCCAAGGTCGCTGACACCCAACCCAGAATGACAGAGTTAGCCGCATACGCACCGCTTGCGAACAAGAAACAAGAAATGTATCGGGCGGCGGTGTTCAGCGTCACGCAGGAGATGATGAACCCGATGACGGCGGCGCCCATGCACCCGGTGATGTGCCAGGTGCGCTCGTTGTACCGACCGGAGGTGATCCCTATCGCGACACTGGCGATACATGTGGCGAGGTACGGTGGAAAGGTCAGAACAAGGGTTATCGTACTGCTGTAGCCGAGGCTTCCTACGACGGTGGGGAAGAAGTTGTTGAAGCTGCAGGAGCTCAGGTGCATGTTCTGCATGAAGGCTAGGAGGAACAGACGTGGGTCCCGGAAGGCTTGCTTCAAGCCGGCCATGGGCCCCTTCGATTCTTCGCTGTTGACGGTGTCGCTGACGATGCGATCGTGGGCTAGTTGGCGTTCTTCGGGCGTGAGCCATCGCGTGGTCAGCGGGTGATCGGGGAGCATGAGAAGGCCCAGTACGGCGATTCCGAATGTGACCACGCCTTCGATGATGAAGAGCCACTGCCAGCCCGCTAGGCCGTGTACCTTGTCTAGGGTCGAGAAGGTTGCTGCGGCGATCAAGCCTGCGACACCTGTTGCGATGATATTACCCGAGTATAAAATAGAAATACGGAGGGCGATTTCTTTGCGGGTGTAGAAGACAGACAAGAGAAAGAGAGCGCCGGGGTAGAAAGGGGCTTCTGCAATGCCTAAAAAGAACCTGACCATCACCAGTCCGACGTAGTTCTTCGTCAAAGCTGTACAAGCCGAGACAGCTGCCCAGCCGGCCATGCAGACGCTCATGTATAAAGATGGCCGGACCTTCTTGGAGGACATGAGCATGTTGGAGGGAATTTGCATCAACAGGTACCTGTTTTTGTCGGGTTTGTGAGTAACCCCATCGTCATGCAAGATCTCTCACTTCCACCTACCCCACAAAAAATATCGAAATACATGTGTTGTACTGGGTACCGACGAGACCAAGGTCCTTTTCGAGGTCGTTTAGGCGAGCATTGGGAACGGCATTGCGGTCGATCTGAAGTATATTCTTGTTAGTGGCTTCACATCGTTGGGGCATGGACTCGGCCGATGCTCACAAAATTCATGAAATACATTGCCCACAAGATGGGCATGATTCGCATGTCCAACTTTCGAACTAGACGAATCTCCCTAGGATCCGTCTTTGCCGTGGCACCGGCATAATCTCCCTGCGCCTTCTCATCGGGCTTGATGGAGTGCACATCTTCAATGTAAGCACTATGCCCTTTTCTGTCTTCAGGAGGAGGGTACTGGGACCTTATATCTGATGGGAAAATGGAAGCCATAGTTCTAGAAATTGATAATCGATACCAAGATCAATATTGATTGGGCCTCAGAAACTGGAACGATCTATATATATGCCGATCGCAAGCCAGTCCAAGGTTACGGGGCGCAAGGACAACACATGCCATATTTATACTCATCACCAACAGGGAGAATGCAGTTGAGCTCCAGACAATCTCGACTCGCTCATGCAGCATCTGGCCAAACAAAAGCTTGGGGGTCCCGGGTCACTCGAAGCCAAGAGAATTAAGGCAGCTCCACGTCGTGATTATCTTCCATCAACGAATGAACATTCCTAGAATGAATGCAAGCGTAGCGATCGACCATCCCCAAACCCTTTCCCCGCATATCATCACACGCTGGATGGGATCACAAAATCTGGGGTTTATGGTGCGGATCGGCGTGCGCGAAACCGTAGTCCAGGGAACTAGCGGTAAAACAAACAGGCTAATCATAACCTCTAGGGCTTGGCCACGGATGCAGAGATTAGCAGGGTCTGGCCTGCTGGCAGTTGGTAGACACGGGAGTGAGAATGGTTCGTGGCGTGCATAGACCGCCACTTCCCTTTGTTGGTCTCGCTCTTGGCGGAGGTCATGGACCCGTTGTCAATGAGATGCCGCCAACTTTGTTTCATGGGGAGAATGTTGTGCCAGAGCTTGTACAGTTGGTGCTAGGCCTGGTCAGACCGCCATGCCCACGACGTATAGAATTGTCACTGCACTGTGTGGAACGGTGGTCTTTGACCTGTTCTGCGTGTTGGGATACTGGCCAGGAGGCGTTTTGAGGTTGTACCAATAAGATGCCCATTCGCTGGACTTTGGTCCTTTTTCTAGCAGGGATTCCCAGATGTGCTCATGGTTACCCCTGCTTCGGACGAGAACTCATGACTCGCGTAGAGTGTCGTTCTAGCGATATTGTCAGCGTCTCTAGAAGGTTTCTATGGTTGTGTGTTTGCCAGTAAATACCTCGCAGTGTGAGCTATGTACATTATTGCAGGACATCTTATGTCTCATTGGCCGGTTTCAACAGGTGTGTACCTATGGACCCAGCTATACTAACAGCATTCGTCGTAGTGAACAAGGTAGCTCAGTATCCCGCCGCTGCTGATATATTGTTCTAGTGTGTAGACTGCGAAGAAAAGCAAATCACCACCCGTAACTCATCCACGCCTCAAAAAATTACCACGGATTCCCAATGCTAAATTAATATATTTCTACGACATAAAGGGTCGAGAACCTAGTCCAGAGTGGATCATGCCCCAGAATTCGTCTGGAGAGATTTTATTGCCGGTAATCGGACAAGACATTCCCGCTCCGATTTCCGTCGGACATGAAATGGTCCGGCCGGGCCCAGAGACCCTGAAGAACAACAAATGGGACACTGGGGCTATTGCAATATGCAGGTTAATTTGACTCGGTATGTCATGACGGAAAGATCGCGCTGGGGTAGGTTCGAATATGTTGAGGGGGTCGGTTATTGGGGTATGGGGTTGCCAGGACGCGGCGGACCTCGTTAAAACTCCAGATCAAGCGTCGAGCCGGCATATCTCTCGGCAAGGCGAGCAGGTTGCCAGCAGGCCGTGACGCGCGATGTCATTCGCGGTTTGGATCTACCAATGGTGAAAGCCGATTAAATATCCGGTCATCGGGATATTCAGCGCAAAGTGGACCTGCGATGACTTCGCCCGGGAATTCCCGGCAATCTTACTGGTCGCTGCCCTCACGGAGAAGTATACGGTTGATGCTACCTCGCGGCGATATCATGGTTCTTGCGTAATGAATTGCTGTATATATAGAACAGGAGGAGTCGGTAGTGAGACATGTTGCGCTATAGAAATTTGTATTTATTGACGGTCAAGCCATATCTATTTTGGAACTTTGGTTTCAATCAATATACATCATCGCCTTCAGATTCAACCGGGCCTATCAATCTTCACCTACCTATTATATATAGTACTGCCCTTTGAGATAGCAACATGGCTCCCTCAATCAGTGACTTCCCTCACAGTGTGGCCTTGACCCAGCCATCCGTGTGTAAAGTCGGCATCAACGGGTTCGGCCGTATAGGTTGGTGACGGTCAACCATGCGCATTCAACATTCAGCCATTAACCGCCCTCATCTTAATCAACAGGTCGAAACGTCTTGCGTGCTTCTCTTACCCGAACAGACCTCCAAATCGTTGCCATTAACCACACCTGTACCTCCGTGCAAGACCTCATCTATCTCATCAAATACGACTCCTGTATGGGCAAACTCTCGGACGAGATCTCGGTCCACGCCCTATCAGACACCCTGATCACCATCAACGGCCGCCAGATTGTCCTCACGTCCGAACGTGACCTCCAGAAGCTGAACTGGAGCGCTGTCGGTGTCGACTATGTGGTTGAATGCACCGGCAAGTTCACCAAGCGTGACCTGGCTCTCCAGCACGTTACCTACGGCCACGCCAAGCGGGTCGTCATTTCCGCCCCCAGCTCCGACTCCCCAACATATGTGTATGGAGTCAACTCCGATGAGTACACCGCAGATGAAGACCGCCGCGTGGTCTCCTGTGCCAGCTGTACAACAAACTGCGTTACGCCGGTGTTGAAGGTGCTGAACGAAAATTTCGGAATCGTACAGGGACTCCTGACAACAGTCCATGCGGCAACCCAATCACAGCAGGTTCTGGATGGGTATAGCAAGAAGAACCGTCGGCTGGGTAGGTTTATGACATGGACCTGCATAGGTCACACTTATGAGAACAGGGCATGCTAACATTCAACAGGCCGCAGCGTCTTCGATAACATCATCCCCACTACCACCGGTGCCGCCAAGGCCATCGCAACAGTCCTGCCTGAACTGACAGGCAAGGTAACCGGAGTGTCCATCCGTGTGCCAGCGTAAGTCATCATCGTCCCGTTGCCCAGGTCCAAGAGTAGAAGCTAATTTGATGAATAATAGTCCCAATGTCTCCATGATCGACTTGACCGTGACCACAGAGCAACCCACATCATTGGCGGAGATAATGGCCGCATTCCGCCGCGCATCCAAGTCCGGTCTGGCGGGAGTCCTCCATGTCAGTGACGAGGAGCTTGTCAGCAGCGACTATAAGGGAAACCCACACAGCGCAATCGTGGATGTCGCTGCTTGCACAGAGTTGAATCCTCAGGTTTGTTAGCCAGCATCCCTACTCATAAGTATATCGAGCTGACAGCAGGTGTAGTTCTTCAAGATCATGGCGTGGTATGATAATGAATGGGGATACTCGAACCGGCTGTTGGATTTGACTGCCCATGTGGCACTGCAGGAACAATAGTCGTTACAACAAGTGGTGATAAGGCGAGAAGTAAAAAAATACTTATATCTGGGTGTGCATATACTCGCCTGAAAACGACACTTGCACCAGTATTTATATGCTTTTATGTGTTAGCGGAATAGATATCATATAGCGTTATAATAATGAAATTATACTACAATGAATAACCAATCCCGGGAACTTTATGCTGAGGGGGAAACTTCGCGCGGGAAATTCATCATGACGACAACTAAAACGGTGCACTTGTGCTGTCAGTCTGTTAGTCCTTTCGAAATGGCCATTATTGGCGGAGTGAAAGTGGGGTTTGAGGGCCGATGTGCATGGCCCAGAGCGATTTATCAATACGTGCATGGATGATTTCTTCGCGCAAACACCTCTGCCATCTGCTGCGTCTACGTGTCATACTGCCTTGCCAGCACTGCAGTAAATAATGTGTCGCTGCCCAATCAACTTAGGCTCGACCCGACGCCGATTGCATTAGTCCGGCGCCTTCGTTTGCTAGTTACTGGTGTTGGATCATCAGTGCGACCCATGTCGGTGTCCAATTTCCATATCTCGGTGGTAGGGTTGCTAAGTTTACTAAGCATCTTTCTAAACAGGAGTATTCCAACCACGTCATACCTGTCGTATGGAAAGAAGCTTGTCTAGAACAAGTGATTTGTGAAGTGCTTCTTGGGAGTCGTAGCTGTTGGGGGCTATTGTTGATGAGAAAGAACACTGGGAGGTAAATGCTAGAGTACTACCATATTGCCCCCTTCCACGCCATTGTATTGTCTATATAAATATACAAAATAGGAAGTTCCCCCGGTGAATAAGTAGACTAGATGTGGTGAGGCCGAATCGGAGTAGGTGTGCTAAACCTGGAAATACATAATCTACACCAAGGGAAGCAAGGATCTGCAGCGGCGTCCGATCACAATTGGCCGAGATATTCGATATCACCTAAGCTGACTGCTGCAGGACGACGACGACTCGGCCAAGGCTGTGCACTGCAACCCCACCTGCGACTGTTTCCCCGCCTCCTTGACTGATGTGGATATGCAGGCGTGGTGTTACGCCCATTACTGCGTTGGATACTCCGCTGACGTTATCATTATTTTTCTTAAGGCTGGTCGCTCTGCTCTAGTTTAATTCTACTGAGCATGAAAGATGTTTGCAAATCCCGTATTATACATCAAACCGTGTGCTTGAGCACGCTGACGGGTTGCACCACCGTCACCTCCGCAGAATCATCAGCCATGTTGTAGTCGCACGCCCCTTCCGCACAGTGCGTTGCACTGGAGTTCGTGCTCGACATGGCATGCCACTCCAGGTCCTCCCGGCGACTATCAGAATCCTTACCGTCCGGGGCCAACCGCTGGAAGTCGCCCGCAGTAGGGGTAGGTGTTTGTCCGGACCAACCACTCCCTCGGCTACGGTCCGAGCCTGCCTTTCGCTTGTTCGAGATGCTGTTCGGCCATCGGCTGTAGGGCGGGGTGTAGGCCTTGCTGCGCTTCTTGGCCATTATGAACGGTCGGAAGGCAGTAGCGGCCGCAAGGAAGACACCCAACGCAGCGCTGATGAAAAGCGTGTACATCTCGAAGATGCCATCGGCGCGGCCGTCGTGCTCCAGACCGGCGGCTCGGGCGATGGACAGGCCGACTTGGACGACGTCAATACAGAGGGAGCATGCTAGGGCCAGTTTCTGGGTCCAGTCCACGCGGACCTTCCAGATGACGGCGACTGGGATTGCGAGGACTGTAGAGTAAATCCGGTTAGCGGCTGGGCTATTGTGTGTCCGGGATAGGGTAGGAGAGATGGGAAATACTCAAAATGTCTGATACAATATCCACCGCTACCTTTGACGCGGTGTATGCAGTAAGCCTGCCCAGATACTTTGGGGTGTTACACTCCACTGGGGGCTCTGTTAGAACTCGCCTATCTGCAGAAAGTGGAGTCTTAGGATGATGAAGAACTCACTTGCGGCCGCACCCAGATGGGGACAAGTTGCCCAGAAAGCGACGACTCCAAAAACCCAAAGCCCGAGGTTGAACAAGCAAGCAAACCACCAGTAGATTTGCCAGACCCGTAGGCGATCGATCAATTTCCGAAAGAACACCAGGAAAAAGAACTTAACGGCACATATTGCGCACCAAATGAGCATCAGCGTGGTCATTGTCCATTTGTGGTCCTCATCCGACAATTCTATCATGTTCGCAGGGACCTCCATACGGCCGAGTGCAATGGCCTCCACCAGGTACATTATGTAGACTGCCTTGTCATACATGGCCACCGCGCTTGCCACGAGAAAGGCAGTGGCCAATATAAGTACTCCATCGTCGAGTTGGAACTTCTGTTTCTGCACACGAAACCTGAGCACACAACGCACGATGACTCCGACGATGGCGAGAGCGAAGAAGACGCCGGTTGATATCTAGGACAGTGTTAACGTGCTGAATGTTAATATAGACAAGGGAATGTGTGAATACCAGGAGGGGCTGTTTGTCGATTCGACCACCTTGGTCATCTACTGCCATAGTGACTTGTTTAATTAGCCCTCACTTCACGTAGTTGTCCAGTTGCTGTCTTGAACAAGCGGGGCGGTGGCTTTTTATTTCTGCGTGCTTGGAGCATAACGCTGACCAGATGTCTATGAATGTAAGCCTTGCAGATCGCAGGATGGGGGCCGTCACCTCTGTCCAAGGAAGATAACCTGCTGGTGTTGACTCGGTGGGTGGTGAGTGGAGGATCGTTGCTGACAGCCCCGAATGGGGACTTTTCATGCATGGGCCAAGTTAGTGCTTACCGAGGAGAGCAATTCTGTTGCTCCTCCCGCTCAACAAGGCTGTACCCCATTGATTAATCCACTAATTAATTAAGTGATTTTATTTCTATTTTCTATATTAGGAGAGTGCATCGGAGAATCCGAGATAGGCGCCATGCCGGTCAATGTGACTTCTCTCCAGTGAAGATACGGCACTTAATTATTGGACTTATGAAGTCAGCTCGCCTTTAGAACTCACTCTGTTGATTCTAACGGGTCCTGCCATATTATTCGGCGCAAGATCAGGATCACTTCATATAAAGACAACATCCCGGTACATACACTATAAACGCACATCGATCAGGGCTAGGGCAAGTGGACGGGTTCCCACTGGACACGGTCCGCTACTTGATGTTCACCTCGCCGACGATGTATATTATTGCAGGTTCTTGGACTTCAAACAGCTAGTTGGTCTATAATATGGAGGGTAGGAATGCTTGTTTATAATAGATTATGACTATATTAGCCCCCACAAAACTTTATCCCAAGAGTTTTGTGTTTACTTGTTACGTCTGTTCCAACTAACGAAAATGTATATTTGGACGTAGAGGACAGGAGCATGCTGTTTCGTGATACACTGAGGCATTGAGTTGCTATTCCTCAAAGGCACCGTCGAACGGTATGAACGTATGAACTTATGAACAAGGAAATGTTGATCCAGTCCAGGACCCGCCAAAACCTCTATCCAAATTAGAAATCCTAAAAGGGCCATGAAGTGGTGCACCTTCTTAGCGTACCTCTGCTTTCTGAGTTATATTCTTCAGTCATTTCGGGTCAGGGAATGAATGATACTGAGCGGTGATTAGGAGCCACTAGGAGAAACTGCGCCATAGAACGGTTTAGACCACAGGAATCCAGCGATCCACGCCCATCCGTACTATGATAAGAAGTGGGGATAGAGTCATACATCCTAACCGAATATACATTGTAAGCTTTCTGTTGCTGACAGCTCCACGAACATATTGATAATAGCTAAACCTCCCGATAGGGCTTTGTGGCTCCAGGTGGTGTCTGGCATTGCTTTTATGATACCCAAGGGTATATGACATAATACAGGGCAGTGTATTCAGCTGAAAAAGTGTCACGGCGGCAGCTACCGCATTTTGGTACCCTCTTCAGAGCCATAGTGTATCAATTGGCATTTTGATAGGTTGGCACAGTGGTGAAAGGGGCTGAGACGGCAGTTACGAGTAAGGCCAGGATGTGTCGGTGGTGAGTCAAAAGGATGCCTGGTCATTAGGCGCGGGTACACAAAGGCTACATAGACGCGTGGTAAAGAGGCCAGTGTGTAGGAGGTACCTTGTTAATAGGGCAACCCGTTTGATGATTACACCCCTATCAGGATCTCGCGATTACCACTCATGGCGTTACAACATTCCGCCTCCATGTCAGGGTTCATCAGAAATGTCCAGTTACTGGCTCACCAGGTCTGAGAGGTATGACGAGCGACTGTTAGCTGCACATACATTGGCTGGGCTCAGCTGAGTCTAGATGGTCGTTGGGAAGGGAACCCTCGATTTGCGTGACTGTGAAACATAGGGCATCGTCGGACAATCACTCCCTGTGTAACCTCCTTGAGCTAGCATACGGAAAAGTCTAAGCAGCAGTGCCTCGTATGACCTCAATTAGGCCCTAGTTGCGGGGAAGACGGCTCGAAGCAGCACTAGGCAGCAGTCGAGCACGAGGTCTTAGATAATCCGTGAGGCCGATAGCAAACCGACAACGAGAATATACAGGCCATAGTTGATACGTCCACACACACAGCCGTACCTGTCACCACATTTCGATCGTGCCTAGCTTGCTCCTTGATGACTTGTGATACGGAAGCAGCGGGGTGTATGTGCTGGACTCATAGAAGTACTACAACCTCTGGTTGAATATCTCGACGGGATCATCGAAGCTCCAATAGCGGCTTCTGTCCTGTCCGACAGAGCACGTCTTCGCCGGCAATTCCCGGGATAAAGTACTCATACCTGGACGTTTCGCTTTCAACACAGACAGACACACATATGTATTTGGAAAAACAGAATTACTCCTCTTTTTAAGTAATATCGTACCTGGAGCTACTCTGATTAGCTATTGTGGCATATTCCTTCGGTAGCCTGCACTGCCGTTAGCGTACTACACAGTACATGGCTCCAGAGAGCCACGCATATTGATGGGGAATATAGTGACATGGAGCTTGATTGTAGACGCATATTGCCATTGTATACTCTTGGGCAGCATGAAACTTGCCACCATAAAACAGCCCTTACTAAATGCGGGCTATGAACGAGCCTGATGAGACCTAGACCTTTTAGTTCAGAGCACAGTGATGGTTACATACAATATCGCCAAGGTATACGTTAACAACCATTCCCGGGTGGTTCAACTACACACCCACTCCAAGCCATACAGAGCTTGCATCTAGGGTCAATGCATGCTAGCGCTGTCTCGCAAATAACCCAATGTTTGCCACTTCGAGATTGAAAGTCACCATGGCGCGGAAAAGAGTGGTATTGAATAGCATACTATGGGGCCTCGTAGACAAGCAGCGTCCTCACAATTCGCAAGACTGGCGGTGTTCACCGATGAAACTGAGCCATACCCTGGGGAATTTAAAGTGCTGTCCGTGAATTCAGTAGAAGGCGCGCATCGTCCTGCCCTTCGTGAAACACTAGCCGTCTGAGACCGTTTTTGAGTCGTAACGCAGGCGGCAAATTGGGTACTAACAATTGCATATATTCCTTGAATGCATTTGCAACACAGAGCCGAGCTATAACAACCCAGGAAATGCTTCGCCACATGGTCATCTTTATAACATGGATCCTTTTCTTGCGGTTCTTGTCAACTGCAGCATTGTCCAGCCTTAGTAACATAGCTAGTCAGGTTGAAACAGCCATTCTTTGTGCATTCTTTGACAGTTTGAATCAATAGGACCTAGAGCGGTGGTAGGCTATTTTGTGAAAAGTATCTCTTCTGTCACCCCCTACGACCTCTATGTCAAGTATGGCTAATGCATATGATCACACCGTTCCGATACACCCATATCTAGGGTGGCCTCTAGTACCCAAAAGCCGTAGAATGCACTATGGCCGATCCACTATCGATTACTGCAAGCGTGGCCAGCATTGTATCACTGGGTCTGACTGTTTGTCAGGGCCTGCTCTCTTACTATGGACCATACAAGACATGCTATGAAGATGTCAAGCACATTGGGGAGATTGTGGAAACCTTGAACGGTACACTCCAGGGATTAAATAGCTTACTTGCTAAAGCATCAGTGTTTCAACGCCCCTCAATAGCGCCACAGGCTACCTCTGCAGCTGACCTGATCAAAAGATGCCAAGAGCACATACACAAGCTCGAGGAAATGCTAGCAAAATTCAGAAAGCCCTCTTCGAATGGGAAATTGACAGGCTTCAGGAGCCAAGTCAATCCCATGCTGTATCAGTTTCAGAAGGAAACGGTGATGTCGGTCAAAGATTCATTAACCTCGTTACAGAGAAACCTTGGGAGTGCCCTGCAGAATCTGCAATTGTAGGTTACTGACTTCCACCAGTGCGAGTAGATTGCTGAGCTTATTCTAGGTCTTTGGAAGTTGTTGGCCAAAATCAAATGGATGTTGTTCTATCGTACACCGCGTCCACCGCCTCTGAGACAAACCAAGTTGTGACCATGATACAGGGGCTAGGTGACACACATACTGGCATGGACAGTAAGATAGACATGCTCGCAGCGCGCATAGATTGCCTGGTATGCCCATAAGTCGCATGACGACCCCACCGACCCGCAAGATGTTATCAGTGTCCGGATGAAGGATGAAAACGACAGTCGACTCGGTACGGCACATGTTCACGAAGATGGGACTTCGAAGGTGAAATGGAAAAAGTGATAACTTAAAATATATCAGTGGATCAGTTTATGGGTATTGGATTAAGCCTCTCAGCTCTCCCGCGGTGCCACTGCATAGCATCAAATTCGTGGGTAGGCTGAGGGGATTCGTGCTACATTCTAGCATTGTAGATAATGGCTCATCGTCATAGTACGGGGAGGTTGAAGGCAATATTAGGGTCAACAATTGCGTAAATCGCTTCTCGGCCTTGAACACGGGGGGTCAGGCAGTCACGGGTTGTCGGCGCTTTGCATGTCTTGTCCGTTGGCCTGCCTCTAGTTAGTACCATTCACGTGAGACTTGCACTTAAATGCTTCTCATCTCTATCAATCCTCACCTATACAACAACACATTTCTCAATATTTCCAAGGTCCAGTGTTGTATTCACTTTTCCCCACGACAGAAAGTCTTATCCATTCTCTAGGATCTTTTTCTGCTTATTTAGCGTCTTAAGCACTCCGTGTAATGACGAGGTTTGGTGCAACCCTTACCAGGTTGAAGTATTGTATTTCCCAGCTACCAGCCTCCAGATACTGGCGACCCATGAGCACCCAACCTGCTCAGACTGGCACCACACGCCTTATAGAGGAGGAGAGACTTCCTTTCTACAAACCGGAGCAATTCTATCCTGTCCATATAGGCGAGCTCCTTCACTCAAGATATAACGTTTTAGGCAATTAGCTGGGTGCAGGTGGTGTCTCCATACCGTCAATCTCGATAGAGGAATCGGAAGAGAATCTCAGTGGCCAAGATAAACAGCAATTTCTCCAATTCATGCGATCAATGCTTCAGTGGGTCCCTGAGGAGAGAAAGACAGCGAAAGAGCTATTGGATGATCCGTGGCTGAATTCGAATTGAACTACTCCCGTTCTCGATCCTTGAACCTACTGTAAGGTTATGTATGAGTCTAGAATACAAACCCTGTGCCACTAAGAACCGTCATATTAGAAACAGATAAACACGAGAGGTCTTGTCCACTCCCAAGGGAAACCTGAATGTTACACCTCGTGCCTGTTCTTACGATGTAGCTGCTCTACATGCCCGTCAGCGACGCGTCCGCGGAAACATCGAACAAGGATATGTGGTCTGACGGTAATAAAGTATTCGGTCCAGCGAATCGGTGGCCGTATCGTTGTAAGAGGCTCAGAGTTACCTTTTTGTAGACTATCATGGTTTAGTATGTGTTCGAATTGCTGCTCTCTGCCGTGTGAAAGACCATACCGTCTTGGAGGCACAGAGCAAGCAAGAACGGGAGCTTTCAATTCCACGACCTACAGTGGGGGGATACATACCTCATACCCCTTTCATACTACTGCTGGCATAATCTCAATAGTTCAAGAACAGAAATCCTAAATGCCACTATCGTGAGGAATGACGTGATGCGCTAAGATTAGACCAATTAATTAATTGGCCCCTCAATGTCTCATTGGGACTGATAAGTACACCTAATCCCGGTGAAGATTCTTTTGACCTTCTGCAATACCCCAAAGGAGCAACATGGTGAACTGGGGAATCATATGTAGGTCTCTTCCAACAGATATCCTTTAGTACTCAAGCACCGCTAACCCTAGCGCGACCAACAAGCAACTGGCGATAACGCTACAAGTTCGTCATCCATCATAGTCCAACTGCAATTAACATATACGCTGACCAGGCCGGTTATCCAGAATTTGCCAAAGACCTCCTCATCGATCCATCAACAAGGGGCGTCCACAATGTCACCCACAACCTCACCGCCGTCGCATCCTCAGCCTCATTGCAAAAAGCCCATGACTTCCTGTCTTCCGTAAATGCTCCACCAGACACAACCGCTTACGGATCCTACGAGTCCCTCCTCGCAGACCCCAATGTTCAAATTGTTTATATCTCCACGCCACACTCGCACCATTTCCAGAATGCCCGTGCCGCTTTACTCGCGGGAAAGCACGTCTTACTTGAGAAGGCCTTCACAGTTAATGCAGCTCAGGCGCGTAGTCTCATACAGCTTGCTCGTAAGAAGAACCTGTTTCTGATGGAGGCAATGTGGACGCGTTTCTTCCCACTCATGCGGTATGTCAGACAGCTTATCAAAGATGGGGCTATTGGAGCTGTGCAGCGAGTAGTTGCGGATCGAAATTTAGGGAGAGATGTCGAGAAGCTCTACGGAACGGAGCATCGATTAGTGAATCCTGCACTGGCGGGTGGGGCTTTGCTTGATTGTGAGTACCATCAATATTATGCAAGTATCGGCCGAAGTTGGCGGTTTAAGAGACGCCATACTAACATCTGATGCTGCAGTGGCTATATATCCCCTAACGTGGATCTTTCAAATCCTCTATCATGATGATCCACTAGCCTCTGGTACTGTCAGGTCACCACCACATATTTCTAGCTCGGTGGTCAAATACACCCCAACTGGGGTAGACGAAACCACTACTGTTGTTGTCACCTTTCCTGAAAGCCAAACGCAGGGTGTCGCGACTGCGAGTCTTCGGCTCACTTCGGACCCAACCGACCCAGGGGTGCGCATCTTAGGAGATAGAGGCCAGATACAGGTTTTTGGACCTGCTGCGCGGCCGTTGAGCATTGTGCGCATTGCATATGGGGAAGAAGGTCCGGAGATAGTGGAGAGGAAGGATTTTGAAATTCCAGTTGGACATGGATTGTTCTGGGAGGCAGATGCCTGTGCTCGATACTTGGTTGAAGGGAAGATCGAGTCAGACCTGATGCCACTGGAAGAGACGCTGCTGATTATGGAAGTTATGGATAGGGTACGGGAGCAGAACGGGATTAAATATCCGGCCGAAGTCGAGGCACATTAATTCAACAGCAAATATCAGAATGAGACGCATTTTTGGGTGAGTGTCTATCTTACCAGAGTTGAAGCGGGCAGTAAGAGATCAACTTCTACATACCAACTTGTACTCCGTCTCTCCGTAGAAAGGCATCTTGTGTTCCACGTTTATTCAACAATTAAAAATTATATATGTATTGTATGCTCTGACAATCACGATATTCTATCATTATCCCAGATACTTTCCCTAATGCACACCGTGTTATTATGTGCGAGGATACCGTGTAAGGGAGCTGCCGCGAGATGGTGCTCTAGAGCTTAACGACGGCTAAGTCTCTTGTACAGGTCATGGATCTCACTGCCCATCTGTTTCTCAGTAGCCTCATGGAAGGAAGCCTCATCAAACTCAGTTTCCCTCTTCTCCAACCCGGCGTCGCGGTTGAGCTCCTCTTGAGCCATTTCAACTAAAGACGGTGAGTAGGTCGTACAATAAAACGAAGCAACACGCGGGGCTTACCATGACAGTAGACAGCCGCTGTTTTCCCGCTAGACATGGCATGGGGAACATTAGTGCTGTTGTCGCTGTTGGCGTCGCCAACACCCCAAACTCCCGGAACGCTAGTTCGCAAGCCCTTGCGCAGGGTATTCATCTTGGACCCCAGCATTTCCACGCCCAGCTGAGCCGGCAGGTCGGACCTCTGCGACGTATCATAGTTCGTGAGGAACGCACCACGCACTTCAAAGCTGTTATCGACGAAGTAGATTTGGAATTTATCGAACTCCTGACGGGTCGCGGGATCGTACACAACGCCCCCATCCTGTATACGGGTGATGTTCAAAATGGGCTTGTTATTGACTGTGACATTATACGTCTGGAACACCTTTCTCCAGTTCGGGTGTTTCTCATCCAGGATGGCGATCTGCTCTGTAGTGTTGGTTCCGTTCGCGTAGATTCTGATATCCTTGTTCAGGGTCGGGTGCAGTTCTCTGACAGCACCGTATGCGTCGGACAAATTTCCAAGAACTCCCATGGACTGGTTCCGATGCTCGAACCCATCACACCACGGACACCAGTAGATACCTTTTCCAAAGCCGTCCGCGAGGCCCGGCACATCGGGCAGATTGTCTTTCATTCCGCTGGCCAGGATGACCTTGCGGGCTGTAAATTGCTGGTCACCGAAAGTAGCTTGGAAAATGTTATCTCCGACCTTTTCGAGCTTCGTCACCTTTTCATCGATGAACGTGGTCGAGTTGTAAAAGGCGATTTGCTCGCGGGCGGTCTTCCGAAATTCGGCGGGCACGACATCTAATACAAACTCAGTACAGTAGATCGTTGTATAAAAAGGGATATACTTACGGTCATTTCCGATCACATCATGCATGTGTCTAGTAGGGTTGTTACGGTACTCGCCAGAGTCAAAGAGGACCGACTTCCGCAGGACGCGCGATAGGCCACTCGCAGCGCTGAGGCCAGAAGGGCCACCACCAATGATGATCACATCATGGCTTGTCTCAGGTACATCTGCTACACAGACAGAAAGGATGGAGAGTAGGGTGCACAAAAGCGCTGTCCAGTTGCAGGTGAACATCATGGCTGGTGACGGTCCCAGCAGCGTCGAACTTGTGATAGAGATGATAGAAGGGATCCGAAGCAGTCCATGTTGTTAGACGCTTTCTAATATATAGAAACATCGCTTGCCTCTCACGGCCGGGAACGTCCAGTGGGTCGTATTGGTTATTCCGATAAGCATACGACTTTGGACGGATACATTGAGATATATTTTGGCGCGGGCTGAAAAGCCTGGTGATACAGGATTTTCTAATTAGATATGCACGAGATGTATCACCGGTTTCGTATATTCGACTCGACATAGCACCGTAGCTCGAGATAAATTGTAGAGATGCATGGGCACTGGTAGCACTCCGCGGTTACATTGGGATTTCATCGCGGAATTTTGATTATGTCACGACTCTACCAGAACACGGAAACTCGACTCCCAGTGATGAAGCAAAACCAAAAGCAATCCAGGCTGCTGTTCCACAGCCTACCGTTTTCATCTATGATGTGCAACTAATTCTTCCTGGTTGACTGAACTCAATTTGGGTACATGACAAGTTCTGTGGGTGGTTCCTCACAAAACCCGCAACCGAAGATTGGTTCCAGTTTGAGGCCCGTCCAAAGATGCGATGCCAAGTCTTACTGACAGGGGGAGCTCAGGCATATGAGCCAAGGGATCGAATTTTCTGCATTATCGGCAAATTGTGAACCGTTGGGGGCAGATCCATCTCAACAGCGTGTTCATCTTTAAGAACCTACTCCGGAGTATCGACATCGTCGAACCCCCTTTGACAGGAACTCCGTCCAAGTTTAGACTCTCTCCACTTGCGCTGGCTTCAGGAATAATATTGATAGGACCAGATATCTCGTAGGTCGAGTACTTCTCAAGTACTGTTGACAGGTGCTGGCTTGAAGCGCTCCCTAGGACATGGATACCAATCATCGATGCCCTACTGTTTGAGGCTTCACGGCTTCACGAGCCCACGGCACGAAGTCATCCGTAATAAGAAGTGCATCATTAACCTCGAGCTTGTCTTGATTAAACATTATATCGACGTAGTGAGTGTCATAGCAATGAGCGCCATCGGATAATGTTCTACTAGCAGGACGTTTGACTAGGACTCACATTATATCCTTGTGTGGGGCGACGATATTGACGTACTATATCGTCTGGGGGCATTTTGAGCTTATATTTACATCAGCGATTGAGGTAAAGGTTTTATTAATATGACATGCATATATGCTCACTTGTAATTGTTGGGCCGGAGTATGCGCAAGAGGGAGAGAAATGAAGCTAGAGAGAAAAAGTGAAGGATAGGTGAGAATCAACAGATTTAGATGAGGAAACGACTGAAATTCCGCTACACCGCTACTAACAGACACGGTTCATGGAGGGTCGGAAATAGTCTTCCACGTAGGCAGACAGGGAACCCAGGCTGTGCAGGAGGCTGAAGGACGCGAGGCGAGGTGCATGCATGCGGCTCTCGATAGGGCTCGGGCATAAAGGATCTCAAAGTCAGAATTTAATATGTAACATGAATTTAACGTACTGGGGACACACTCCACTCGGGAACTGACATGCATATATGCTGAGTTGGCTCGTGTTGGATGCGGGGAATTGGCGACCTGAGCACCAGGCCTACTGGTAGTCTGAGGCGTCCACGTATATTCAGTACTACTGTAACAGGAAAGGCGAAAAGTATCGACTCGTATTCATGTGGGCTTGTCGAATATTTAAGCAATACATGTTCATGCGAGTCCGGGCTGTGTAGAGCACCGAATAAAACAGTTCGGAGACTTCCCAAGCCCACGTTCTCTCTCCTAACATCATACCCCGTATAGCGTGGAAGCGTTGGGCCCACTTACATATGCATATTCCCCGAGAGGATATAGACCAATTAATAGAAATCTCCCGAAGCCGTCGTTGGACTTTGCAAAAACAGTACAATGACCGGCAGGAATACTGATACCTTGTCAGCCTTGAGTAGGTATGAGAATCGGACAAAAGCAAAATAATGTCTGGCCATCTACACCACAATGACCGGTGTTCACTTGAGGCTTATCGTCTGGAATAGGCAGTGAAAATCCGGGGTTTCAACGGTCTTCCAATCCGCCACTTCCGTGTAGATCGCTGACATGATGATATCCGACGGTTCCGAGAATTTTAGTCCATAAGCCCATAGGTTTATGGATTATCTTTACTGCCCAGAAATGGCGCATGTTTAGAATGTCATGCAATGGATCACTACCAAACTCAAGTGTTATCTTTCCATTTTAAGTCATATAGCGGGCATTTTACGTCAAACCGCCAGCGCTCATATACAGGTACGAATATATTTTAACATCCAAAATCTGCAGTCATACAATGCAATATCGAGACTCACCTATTTTACTAACAGAAAATGGCAGGGAGGAAAAGTGCTACTTTGGGTCAGGCTGGCCGTGAATGAACTACTGGTTCTTCACATAGGAGCGTCACTTCCATTGAATCTGGGCGGTCTACGCCGATGTTTGGTCTTACCAGAACTAGGTATCTTGCCTCCTTTTCCAGATAATAGTATTGTAGAGCTCAGGTGATTGGACATATCTGGTGCATCCGAAGAGGTATCACTGAGGTGATCCATGGTTTTCCGCAGTTGAAGTCCGTAAATTAGCCAAAAGCGGCAGTAGGGCTATGAAAGTGTGATATATTTAGTATACTGTCAAGCCTAGACAGGTGGCACGGAATAAGGCCAACCATGTACTCGGGCAACCCGTCGGAGCCTCTATTGGCCGGTGTAGGCGTAGGCTGTTCTTCTACAGGCCGTTTCGGATCTGATATCTATCATGCTGGGGCAGTGAGCTGCTCAGATGACAGCCGTATGCCAATAACAATTTGGCTCGTAGCTGTCGGGCCGGCAATGCCTAGTACTTTGGTCAATCAGGAGACAATACGTATGGCTATGTCTCATTCTATCCACGGATGGCTTCGTATTTGTGATGTGTTCTGGAAATAGTAAGGTTGAGGCTACTTCCAGGCCTTCTGTAGACATAGCTAGATTGCCTGCAGTCCCGTATCGATTCCTTGCCTTGGGATGTCTATATAAACCTTCATGATTCCTGCTTCAATTCTCATTCTCAGATTAACATCAAGCATCTTCACCACTACTCCTTCAATACACAATCAAACAAAGGCCATCTATCTCACAAACAAAACTTTCAAGATGAAGCTTTCTTCGACCTCTACCCTCGTCGCTGCACTTGTCGCCGGTGTCAACGGCGCCAGCATTCCTCGAACCCAAGGCTCTGTCCCCATCACCTTTATCGGTGCAGCCGATGCCCAGTTTACTCAGGACTTCCCAACAGATGGAAGCAGCGTCGCCATCAGTAAGTTGACATGACTGAGTACCCTTGAAGCTTGTGAAGTAGCTCTGACCATCGCAGCCAACCCTCTGAGCATCTCCCACATTGCCTCCAGCACCGACGGTGTCTCATGCGTTTTCAATGGTATTGACAACAGCGTCACTGTTGTGTCTGATGCAGAGACTGTAGACGTTGGACCTCCCCAGACCCAGACCTCGGGTGCATGCGCTGTTGGCTCAGTTCCCCCCGGTCAGTCCGAGCCTCGGTCATCTGGCCAGGATGTGGTTATCACATTTGTTGGCGCAGCAGATGCTCAGTTCACCCAGGTCTTCCCGACCAACGGAGTTGCGACTCAGATCTGTACGTATATCCGACCTAATGCCTAGTGGTTGGTGATGACTGACAACAATCGCAGCGAACCGTCTCAGCATCTCTCACATTGAATCTCACGCACCCGGTGTTTCATGCACCTTCAACGGCATTGACCACAGCGTTACCACTGTCAGCGGTGTCCAGACTGTTGATGTCGGTCCTCCCCAGACCCAGATCTCTGGTACCTGCCACCGCCTGTAAAGGAACTACTGGGAGCTAGATAGCTTTCAGACTGTCCAAGGTCACCAATGAGCTAAACACAGCGCTAATCTTTGAACAACCCTATTCCTTTCCTTCTTCACCCTTCGGGTTACGCTTCGCATATCACTATATTTAACTTATGGAATGTTGGCTCTTCTTTTACTACTCATATATACTTGTTCATGTCTCTCCCTTTAATGTGTTACCCTATTGCTGCTTTTACTTTCCTTTCAGCATATTTGCTCTTAGACCACCATGTGATAATGACATAGCCAATCCTTAATTGACAATCACAGAACGATCTGTCTCAATACATGAACGATGATGTTGCATTGTAATACAATTTCGAGCATTGGTATGAGCTTCTCTAATATCTACAGCGAAGAATGTACAGTCAAAGGTTTCAAACGGGTATTAATTCTCAATAGCTTGTGCCTTAAGGTACCCAGTAAGATGTAAGGTCAGGAAATGAGTCATGGATTGGAATGGACTGACATATTAATAGTCGACTTCGGCGATCCCTGACGCTCGATGATGCATGTTTCGTGCTATTTACATCTTAAGCTCGGAGCCAATGAACCTAGAATATTCCGGAATGTAAAGACGCTAGTACCTTCCCATCATAGACACGGAATCACCGAGAATTAGCAAAAGTGCATATTTCCCGGGGGCCCCCTGCCGTACTTATTCGGTGGCAAACTACGCACACGTTTGGACAACGGTCAGCAGAGCAGAATGCGTTTCTATGGATTCGATTACACCTCGAAGCGAAGACATGGTAGGAACCTTTATGAAGGTAAGCTATCTTGGTGGCACCCATGCTGTAATCTAGACGTAGGCCAAGCCCGCGGTGGCCGAATCGTGAAGGCTGAAGGGTTGTCGACAACGGCTGGTTCCATGGATGGCAAACCGTCATGATTGGAACCACCCGCACTTGATGGCGAGTTCCAGCGTCCAGAAACTCTATATTCTCGGTCACCTGAACATGTTCACGTCAATTACTGGGACTGTGGACCTTTTTTTCCGTGGTACCGACGATCCGGGGTTGTCTGGGGTTCGCATCAACTCGCTTCTGGTTAGTAGACACACCGTTTTTGAACCTCAGGGTGCTCGCACAATGGAATTCATGGTAATTACACGATGTACGACGCTATACAGGATTTTACTATGGGTGATGACCTCATCGGGGGGAGTTGAACCGTCTCGGCTTTTCAACGTATAAAACGTGCGTTACATTGTCCGTTTATATCCTCCTATACTGAGAGAAGACTTCATTCATGGATTCAATTGACCCATACATTTAGTATATATTTTTATGAACTAGAAAATGGGGCTTCCCAAGCTGAAAATACCTCGCGCAAACGCAGATCGACCGTTCAAAGATGAAGTCGACTCAAGACCGCCGGATGGCGTCCTCCGCGACGGGGATGATGGCTTGGTCGACACCAAAGTCCCTTGGCTAACCCTTCGGTCATTTAGCATGTGTGTAGTCATCTCAATGGGTGGATTTCTGTTCGGTTATGATACTGGTCAGATCTCCGGATTTCTCGAGATGCCAAATTTCCTCGAACGATACGGGCAGCAAAGGGCGGACGGTACATATTACTTCTCGAATGTTCGATCCGGCCTCATTGTTGCTCTGGTATGACAGTCCTTCCCTCGTTCTAGACCAGCCACCTTGCTAAGGCTACGATAGCTCTCAATTGGCACCTTAATGGGTGCGTTGGTGGCCGCGCCAATTGCGGATCGGGTTGGTCGCAAATGGTGTGTGAGTGGCTGGTGTGTGATCCTCTGCGCCGGGATTACGGTCCAGATCTCTTCCCCCGCGGGGAAGTGGTATCAAGTTGCAATAGGTCGATGGGTGGCTGGCCTGGGTGTGGGAGCCTTGTCGCTCCTGGTCCCGATGTATCAAGCCGAGACGGGCCCCAGACATATTCGAGGATCCTTAGTCAGGTGGGCATACCCCCAGAACGTATGATGTGCGTTCGATTCTGACCCAGACGCAGTACATACCAGTTGTTTATCACTCTTGGCATCTTCGTTGCCAACTGTATCAATTTCGGGACTGAGAAGAAAACCTCTACAGCCTCCTGGCGAATTCCGATGGGGGTGACGTATATTTGGGCTATTATTCTCGGGTTCGGGATAGCGATGTTTCCGGAAAGTCCGCGTTATGACTATCGAAAGGGCAAGGTGGACAGGGCCATTTCGACCCTGGCCAAGATGTATGGTATTCCGAAGAACCATCGCGCCCTGCAGATTGAGTTGGACGAGATCAAGGCAAAGTATGAAGAGGAGGTGCAACGCGGCCAAGTATCTTGGATCCAACTATTTAAGGCTCCTCGCATGTCATACCGCGTTGCTGTCGGGGTCGCCCTGCAAGCACTACAGCAGCTTACGGGTGCCAATTACTTCTTCTACTACGGCACGACCATCTTCCAGGGCGCCGGAATCGAAAACAGCTACGTGACGCAGATGATCCTGGGTGGTGTGAATTTCGGGTCCACATTCCTGGGACTGTATCTCATCGAGAACTACGGCCGTCGTCGCTCATTGATCGCTGGGGCGCTCTGGATGTTCTGCTGCTTCATCGTCTTCGCCTCCGTGGGCCATTTCTCCCTGAATCGGGATGACCCGCCGTCTACCAAGAGCGCGGGCGTGGTCATGGTCGTGTTCGCCTGTCTCTTTATTCTGGGATTCGCCAGTACTTGGGGCCCCATGGTGTGGACGATTATTGCTGAGCTATATCCGTCGGAGTTCCGGGCGCGTGCGATGTCTCTTGCGACGGCGTCGAACTGGCTCTGGAACTTCCTTCTGGCATTCTTCACGCCGTTCATCACGAGTGCGATCGACTTCCAGTTCGGCTACGTCTTTGCGGGCTGTCTCTTCCTTGCTGCAGCTCTCGTCTATTTCGCCGTCATGGAAGGAAAAGGTCGCACGCTGGAAGAGATCGATACGATGTATGTGATGAAGGTGAAGCCATGGCAAAGCTCCAAGTATGTCTTTCCGGATACGGAGCCGAGCGTTGTAGAGAAACGGAGGGCGTCTCACGCTTCGAACCTGAGTACTAACCCGACGACTATCGGCGAGGACCATGAGACTACGGTGTGAGAGAACGTAGATGTCGAGCCTGAGGCTTTGTGGCTACATCACATGCCTCCCCCGTACCCTAACCATCCAAACTGGACACGTATTACTAGAATTCCCATATATGATACACCTCATGAGACGTGGTGACCAGGTCGAAGATGACGTGATTAGACCGCTTAATGTCGACGTTTTTCTTGGAGTATATCGAAAGAGGGAGCTCTGTTATGACCCGCGCGCTGTGTTTTGTTAGCAATCGCCAGCCACCGTAATGTATTTAGAATTTGATGTCGCTCAGCTTTGCGCTTTGAGGAGAACCGATGCAGATTAGTAAAATTGTTATGACTTCATGATGTAGTGTTGGCCACTCCACCCTCCCTGAAGGTGGCCTCCCAAAATGCACGGACCTGGACAGCAAGGACTGGGTAAAACTATGGGCAATCCAGATAGCAGCAACCAATTGTACCGAAGAAACAGGCCAGGATCGCCCTGGTGCGGATTATACATCATTCTTACCATGTTCGAGTTCCTCCCTCCATTTGATTGACCATTAAAGTTAGCGGCGCCTCAGGTAGTACGCAGTACCCACGGTAAGAGTCGCGAGACAGGGGAACCGGCTTAGAATGGGTCTTCAGGTAACGCGTTTCGAAGCTGCCCTAGACACTGAGGTCGCATTGGTAGGTTTGTCGTCACCCAACTATCGTGCACCCACCAGGTGGCGAGTCGCGTCGTGTCGCGAGGGGCCGCCGTGCTGGACGGATCGTCAGGGCCTGTGTGAGTAAGATGCGAGAGAAATGTGCATCAGGATGTGAGATTCGTCAAACGAGGGGGACGGTATCTTCATTCGTAGGGGTCTTGTCATGGCGGGTGTGCGTGTTCACGATGCAACCGAGCATGTTTGGATTGACCAGCAGAGCTCTCAGAGTGGATTCTGACTAAACTAACCTTTCGGGGAAATATATAAACTGTCGATCATCCCTTAAGCTTCGGCCGAAATTTCGGAGGCAATCAGAGGGAGAAAAGGTTGGCTCCCTTGCATAAATCTCGGCTACGACTTGGCCGGGTGTTCTTATTCATTAATTTAATTTAAGCTCTTGATACACCGTCCTCACCATCTCCACGGTTAACCCTCCCTAATTATTTCTGATTATATAGTGCCACCGTTCCGACGCGTCTCCCGGCCCAAAACAACCCACTTTCCTTTTTCTTCTTCTTGATCTGTCCTTGATTATCGTTTCTCGACCCGTTCGGATCCCCACTTAGTGATTAATGACTGGACGGCATTATCAAAGGCGTCTCGCACCGAAGGAGGAACTGCCGCCCACACCGGATGATCATAGCCCTGCGGAGCAGAACAAACGCAAACGAGCCTCATTAGCCTGCCTGGAGTGCCAACGACGACGTATAAAAGCAAGCTATATCCAAGGTTCCATATCGTCAGCCCTAGGCCCCGGATCCCCATCACTAACCTCTTATCTTATCGTCTTCTAGTGCGGCCCTGGCCGTCCATGCGAACCCTGTCTGCTCAATCGACGGGAATGTATCTACGATGAATGCAACGACAAACGCCGCAAGATCTCCGCCGAGGCGACAGAGCGGAACCTGAAGTTTTATCGCAGCGCCCTGGAGAATCTGCTGCGCGCCATCCAGCTCGGCACCGAGTCGGACGTGGCCCACATGATCACTGACATCCGCAAGGGCGCCTCGCTATCGGAAATAACTCGCATCGCTGTCGATTGTTTGAATGATAGACCCGCGACGGTGCCGGATCCAGGGGAACAACAGGACTCGGTCGCGAACCCTCGATGAATCTCATTTCCTCCCCTTTACTGGTTATTTTCGATTGCCCCCTAGAGCCGTTGCCCGCGTGAAATGCTTGTGTGATATATGTCCTGGAGCCCCTCCAGGTGTGGAAGCTTGGTCGGTGTCATCGCGCTCGCGATGTCCCCCCTTTGGCTTTCAGATACAGAATGGCCTCTGTGGTAGTCTTGGTGGCTTGGTCTCCAACGGGCTAGAGGGTCTTACCTCCCCAGGTGGTTACCCCCAACTGGCCTGCCTTCTTCGTTCAGGCCAGAGAGGCGCTTCTTGGGCCATTCTTTTCGGTTTCCAAGGATATACAGGGTATGATGAGGTTCCATCCACCCATGTCAGTATAATAAAAACCATCGCGAACAAAAAAAAGTCGAAAGGAATCAAATTACATGGCTCTTGAAGCCGTTATCCTCCTGGATATCTGCAGATGGGGATACTGCAGAAGGGAACTCGTCGCGACTCGAGTAATCATCCCCGAAGTCTCAGCGCATCCGTAGATAATGTATTACTGCAGACACCGACCTCTGCCATATTTTATGGTTTGGGGGTAACTATCCCATGCTATCTTGACCGCGTACCTTGGTGTGGGGATTCCGCTTTTTTTTACGATTCCCAGTTGACTCTGGTCATCACAAGAGATTAATTGGAGTATTACATCCGTCTATTACTATATTCTTTTAAAAGGCGCTCAGGTACTTTTGTCCGTTTTACTGCAGCGAGAGGGTACTGCTGAAAAACGCCGAGGTACCAGCTGTCGGGTTGATAGATATATTTTGCTGTGTAGAGCTTATCAGACCCACATAGTTTACGTAAAGACACAGGCACTCATCCCACCTCATATACGCAGTACACCATACGTTGTTCCCTCTTTAAACGCAACTGACATATGAGAATGAGAATCGTCTATTGAGCGGGAAAAAAAAAAAAAAAAAAAAAAAAAAAAAAAAAAAAAA